ACCGCAGGGAACTGGGGGGGGGAGGGGAAAAGAGGGGGTCAGTGGGGGGAGGGGAACGCTGGGGGTCAATGGGGGAGGGGAATAATGGGGGTCAATGGGGGAGGGGAAACATGGGGGTCAATGGGGGAGGGGAGAAATGGGGGTCAATGGGGGAGGGGAATAATGGGGGTCATTGGGGGAGGGGAGAAATGGGGGGCAATGGGGGAGGGGAGAAATGGGGGTCAATGGGGGAGGGGAAAAATGGGGGTCAATGGGGGAGGGGATTAATGGGGGTCAATGGGGGGAGGGGAATGATGGGGGTCAATGGGGGGAGGGGATTGATGGGGGTCAATGGGGGAGGGGAATAATGGGGGTCAATGGGGGAGGGGAAAAATGGGGGTCAATGGGGGAGGGGAATAATGGGGGTCAATGGGGGGGAAATGTGGGTCAATGGGGGGAGGGGAAGGATGGGGGTCAATGGGGGAGGGGATTAATGGGGGTCAGTGGGGGAGGGGAATGATGGGGGTCAATGGGGGGAGGGGAAAAATGGGGGTCAATGGGGGAGGGGATTAATGGGGGTCAATGGGGGAGGGAAATGATGGGGGTCAGTGGGGGAGGGGGAAAATGGGGGTCAATGGGGGGAAATGGGGGTCAATGTGGGGAGGGGGGTCGGGGGGGAAATGGGGTCAATGGGGCAAGAGAGATCCCCTATGGGGCATCAGTACCCCATCTATGGGGCACTTATAATGGGACCCCCCTCAATGGGGCAGCATCAATGGGACCCCCCTCAATGGGGCACCCCCAATGGGACCCCCCCCAATGGGACCCCCCTCAATGGGGCACCCCCAATGGGACCCCAGGACTCCCCCTATGGGGCACCCCCAATGGGAACCCCCCCAATGGGACCCCCTCAATGGGGCACCCCCCATAGGACCCCAGCCCCCCCCCCCCATGGGGCCCCCCCCACCTGGGTCATCGGCTGTCACCGTCCCCCAGTGACCTACAAGAGGATGATGGCATCAAAGCCCCTGCTATGGGGCAGGGAGCACCCCTATGGGTCCCTATGGGGCAGGGATCCCTCTATGGGTCAGGGACTCCCCTATGGGGCAGGGAGCTCCCCTATGGGGCAGGGAGCACCCGTATGGGGCAGGGACTCCCCTATGGGGCAGGGAGCACCCGTATGGGTCAGGGACACCCCTATGGGTCAGGGAGCACTCCTATGGGGCAGGGACACTCAATGGGGCAGGGAGCACTCCTATGGGGCAGGGACACCCCTATGGGGCAGGGAGCACCCCTATGGGGCAGGGACACCCCTATGGGTCAGGGCCCCCCCCCCTTCTATGGGTCTCTATGGGGCAGGGACTCCCCTATGGGGCAGGGACTCCCCTATGGGGCAGGCCCCCCCCCCTTCTATGGGTCTCTATGGGGCAGGGACTCCCCTATGGGGCAGGGACTCCCCTATGGGGCAGGGCCCCCCCCCTTTTCTATGGGTCTCTATGGGGCAGGGACTCCCCTATGGGGCAGGGACTCCCCTATGGGGCAGGCCCCCCCCCCTTCTATGGGTCCCTATGGGGCAGGGACTCCCCTATGGGGCAGGGCCCCCCCCCTTTTCTATGGGTCTCTATGGGGCAGGGACTCCCCTACGGGTCCCCACTGGGAGCTGGGATGCAGGAGGGCGGAGCAGGAAAAACCTGCCCTGAGGAATGGGGTCACCAACCCCAGCCCTACACTGACCCCATGGTGCCCCATAGCTCCTACAGCCCCATAGCCCCCATAGCCCCTATAGCCCCATAGGCCCTATAGGCCCATAGCCCCTATAGCCCCATAGGCCCTATAGCCCTATAGCACCATAGACCCTATAGCTCCCATAGCCCCTCTAGCCCCATAGTTCCTATAGCCCCTACAGCCCCATAGCCCCTAAAGGCCCATAGCCCCTATAACCCCATAGCCCCAGCCCCATAGCTCCTATAGCCCCATAGCCCCTACAGCCCCATAGCCCCCATAGCCCCTCTAGCCCCATAGCCCCCATAGCCCCATAGGCCCTATAGCCCCATAGCCCCCATAGCCCCATAGGCCCTATAGCCCTATAGCCCATATAGCCCCATAGGCCCTATAGGCCCATAGCCCCTGTAGCCCCATAGGCCCTATAGCCCCTACAGCCCCATAGCCCCATAGCCCCTACAGCTCCATAGCCCCTATAGCCCCACAGCCACATAGCCCCATAGCCCCCCCATGATCCCTATAGCCCCCCTATGTTCTCTAGCCCTATAGCCATGACCCCTATGTTCTCTAGCCCTATATCCCCCCATATCCCCCCCTTATGATCCCTATATCTCCTATAGCCCTCCCTATGTCTCTATCCCCCCTCCTTAGCCCTATATCCCCCCTCATTGGCCCTATATATCCCCCCATAACCCTCTACATCCCCATATCCCCCCACATCCGCCCCATATCCCCCATTATCCCTATAACCCCCTAAATCCCTCTATATCCCCATATCCCCCCAATTACCCCCCTATATATCCCCCCATTACCCCCCTATATTCGCCCCCATATCCCCCCCATAACCCTATATCCCCCCCTACCCCCCCATATCCCCCCATACCCCCCATTACCCCCCTATATCTCCCCCATACCCCCCCATACGCCTCCCATCTCCCCCTATATCTCCCCCCATTAACCCCCTCTCTCCCCCCCATATCCTCCCCTATCCCCCCCATATCCCCCCCACATCTGCCCCACATCCGCCCCACATCTCCCCCCACATCCGCCCCACATCTCCCCCCACATCCGCCCCACATCTGCCCCACATCCGCCCCACATCTCCCCATCTCCCCCCACATCCGCCCCACATCTCCCCCCACATCCCCCCACATCTGCCCCACATCTGCCCCACATCTCCCCCACATCTCCCCCCACATCTGCCCCACATCTCCCCCACATCTCCCCCACAACTCCTGCCCCACATCCCCCCCCTGAGCCCCACAACTCCTGCCCCACATCTCCCTGCTGAGCCCCACATCTGCCCCACATCTCCCCCCTGAGCCCCACATCTGCCCCACATCTCCCCCATATCCCCCCCACATCTCCCCCCACATCCGCCCCACATCTCCCCCACATCTGCCCCACATCCGCCCCCCCCCCCATATCCCTCCCCATTACCCCCCTCTCTCCCCCCCATATCCCCCCCATCTGCCCCACATCTCCCCCCACATCTGCCCCACATCCGCCCCACATCTCCCCCCACATCCGCCCCACATCTCCCCCCACATCCCCCCCTCACCTCCCATCACCCCCAGCACCACCAGGATCCAGCCCGATCCCATCCCGGCTCCGGCCGCTTCTGACCACGCCCCCTCCCCCCATAGGCCACGCCCCCTCCTCAGGCCACGCCCCCCCCTCTCCCCTCCCTCAGGCCACGCCCCCTCCTGGCCACGGACCTGCCCCCTATGGGGTCCATAGGGGATAAAGACCCCCCCTATGGGTCGCTATGGGTCACTATGGGGAGCCTAAAGACCCCCCTATAGGGCCTATGGGTCTCTATGGGAAGCATAAAGACCCCCCCTATGGGTCTCTATGGGTCGCTATGGGGTGCTATGGGGAGCTTAAAGACCCCCCTATAGGGCCTATGGGTCTCTATGGGAAGCATAAAGACCCCCCCTATGGGTCTCTATGGGTCGCTATGGGGTGCTATGGGGAGTATGAAGACCCCCCTATAGAGCCTATGGGTCTCTATGGGGTCCATAGGGGATAAAGATCCCCCCTATAGAGCCTATGGGTCGCTATGGGGTGCTATGGGGAGTATAAAGATCCCCTATAGGGCCTATGGGTCACTATGGGGAGTATAAAGACCCCCCTATAGATCCTATGGGTCGCTATGGGGTGCTATGGGGAGCCTAAAGACCCCCCTATGGGTCGCTATGGGGTACTATGGGGAGCCTAAAGACCCCCCCTATAGAGCCTATGGGTCTCTATGGGGTGCTATGGGGAGCAGAAGGACCCCCCTATAGAGCCTATGGGTCTCTATGGGTCTCTATGGGGTCCATAGGGGATAAAGATCCCCCCTATAGAGCCTATGGGTCGCTATGGGGTGCTATGGGGAGTATAAAGATCCCCTATAGGGCCTATGGGTCACTATGGGGAGTATAAAGACCCCCCTATAGATCCTATGGGTCGCTATGGGGTGCGATGGGGAGCATAAAGACCCCCCTATGGGTCGCTATGGGGTACTATGGGGAGCCTAAAGACCCCCCCTATAGAGCCTATGGGTCTCTATGGGGTGCTATGGGGAGCAGAAGGACCCCCCTATAGAGCCTATGGGTCTCTATGGGGTCCATAGGGGATAAAGATCCCCCCTATAGATCCTATGGGTCGCTATGGGGAGCCTAAAGACCCCCCTATAGATCCTATGGGTCGCTATGGGGTGCTATGGGGAGCTTAAGACCCCCCCAGACCCCTATAGAGAGCCCCCAGACCCCATAGAGCACCCTATAGGCCCCCCCCATGGCTCCCAAAGCCCCCCCCACAGCGCCCCATAGGCTATGGGACCCCCACCCCATAGCGTGCCCTATAGATCCCCCCCCCCAAGCCCCTATAGACGCACTCAAAGGCCCCATAGCCCCCCATTTAACGCCTCCTTTGTGACCCATAGCGCCCCATAGCTATAGGGCTGCCCCCCTCCTCTAGGGCTGCCCCATAGGCGCCCCATAGAGCCCCACCCTGGGCCACATCAGCCCCATTAATGAGCCCCGGATGCGGCTCATTAGGCGCACCCTATAATGAACGAGGGGGGTGTGGGGCAGGCAACCGACCAATCAGAGCGCAGCACAGCCCCAAGCGACCAATGAGAGGGCGAGGCACGGCCGGAAGTGACCAATCAGGTGGGGTTTCTCCCCCCACACCCATCCAATGACGTCTTTAATGGGGTTAAAAAGGGGGCGGGGGAGCTTCAATACAAAACATAGGGGGGGATGTGGGGCGGGATATGGGGCGCGATATAGGGGGCGATGTGGGGCGCGATATGGGGCGGGATATGGGGCGGGATATAGGGGGCTCAGTACGGCCTCTCGCGACGGTCCTGCCGGTGGTCGCCCCTATGGAGAGAGCAGAGAGATCAATGGGGCAGAGCGCATCTATAGGGCGATCAATGGGGAGAAGATATAGGGGGCAGAGTGCACTGCCCCCCATCTATAGGGCACAGAGTGCTCAATGCCCATCTATAGGGCGCAAAGTGAACCATACTCATCTATGGGGCACAGAGCACACTGCCCCCCATCTATGGGGCACAGAGGGAACCATACCCCATAGCGCACTGCCCCCCGTATCTATGGGGTGCAGAGTGCCCTATCTCTAGGGCACAAAGTGACCCACACCCATCTATGGGGCACAGAGGGAACCATACCCCATGGCGCACTGCCCCCCATATCTATGGGGCACAAAGTGACCCACACCCATCTATGGGGCGCAAAGTGACCCACACCCATCTATGGGGCACAGAGCACACTGCCCCCCATCTATGGGGCACAAAGTGAACTATACCCCATGGTGCACTGCCCCCCATATCTATGGGGCATGAAGTGACCCATACCCATCTATGGGGCATGAAGTGAACCAAACCCATCTATGGGGCACAAAGTGAACTATACCCCATGGCGCACTGCCCCCCATATCTATGGGGCACAAAGTGACCCACACCCATCTATGGGGCGCAAAGTGACCCATACCCATCTATGGGGCACAGAGTGCACTGCCTCCCATCTATGGGGCACAAAGTGCACTGCCCCCCATCTATGGGGCACAAAGTGATCCACACCCATCTATGGGGCACAAAGTGACCCACACCCATCTATGGGGCACAGAGTGATCTCAAGCAGAGCACCCCCTGCCCCACACCTCCTGCCCCACACCCCCTGCCCCACATCTCCTGCCCCACATCCCCTGCCCATCTCCCACATCTCCTGCCCCACATCCCCTGCCCCACATCTCCCCCCTGCCCCACATCTCCTGCCCCACACCCCCTGCCCACACCCCCCTGCCCCACACCCCCTGCCACACATCTCCCCCCCTGCCACACATCTCCTGCCCCACATCTCCCCCCCTGCCCCACATCTCCCACACCCCCACCCCACACCCCCTGCCCCACACCCCCTGCCCATCTCCTGCCCCACATCCCCTGCCCCACATCTCCTGCCCCACACCCCCCGCCCCACATCTCCTGCCCCACATCTCCTGCCCCACATCTCCCCTCCCCTGCCCCACATCTCCCCCCTGCCCCACATCTCCCACACCCCCTGCCCCACACCCCCTGCCCCACATCTCCCACCCCACACCCCCTGCCCCACATCTCCCGCCCCACATCCCCTGCCCCACACCCCCTGCCCATCTCCTGCCCCACACCCCCTGCCCCACACCCCCTGCCCCACATCTCCCTCCTGAACCCCACATCTGCCCCACACCTCCCGCCCCCCCCCTCCCCGTTACCTGGAGTCCATCTTGCCGGGCCCGAACCCTCCTCTCTCTCCTCCTCCTCCTCTTCCTCCCCTGAAGCCCCCTCCCCCCCTCTCCCCGCCCCTCCCCCCCCTGTAGCCGCCGCGCTCGAAGCCTCCGCGCCCTCCGCGCCGCTCCTCGCCGAAGCCGCCTCCGCCTATGGGGACACGGCGACGTCACGCATCTCATTATGACGTCATGCATATCATTAGGACGTCATGCATCTCAGTATGACGTCATGCATCTCATTATGACGTCACGCATCTCATTAGGACGTCATGCATCTCAGTATGACGTCATGCATCTCATTAGGGCATCATCAACCCCTGGTCTGACCCATAGATGTACCCATATGGGTGCTCCCACCCCACCACGCATCTCATTATGACGTCATGCATCTCATTAGGATGTCATGCATCTCATTAGGGTATCATCAACCCCCAGTCTGCCCCATAGGGTTGCTCCCGCCCCACCACGCATCTCATTATGACGTCACGTGTCTCATTAGGATGTCATGCATCTCATTAGGACATCACGCATCTCATTAGGGCATCATCATCAACCCCCGGTCTGACCCATAGATGTACCCATGTGGTTGCTCCTGCCCCACCACGCATCTCATTATGACGTCACGCGTCTCATTAGGATGTCATGCATCTCATTAGGACGTCATGCATCTCGTTGTGACGTCACACGTCTCGTTAGGACGTCATGCATCTCATTAGGACGTCATGCATCTCATTAGGGCATCATCGACCCCCATTCTGCCCCACAGGGTCGCTCCTGCCCCATAGGGTTGCTCCCGCCCCACCACGCATCTCATTATGACGTCATGCATCTCATTAGGACATCACGCATCTCATTATGACGTCATGCATCTCATTATGACGTCATGCATCTCATTAGGGCATCATCAACCCCCAGTCTGACCCATAGATGTACCCATAGGGTTGTTCCTGCCCCATAGATGTACCCATATGGGTGCTCCCACCTCACCACGCATCTTGTTATGACGTCATGCATCTCATTAGGACGTCATGCATCTCGTTAGGGCATCATCAACCCCCATTCTGCCCCACAGGGTCGCTCCTGCCCCATAGGGTTGCTCCCGCCCCACCACGCATCTCGTTATGACGTCATGCATCTCATTAGGACATCATGCATCTCATTAGGGCATCATCATCAACCCCTAGTCTGACCCATAGATGTACCCATAGGGTTGCTCCTGCCCCCCCCATGCATCTCATTATGACGTCATGCATCTCATTAGGACATCACACATCATCAACCCCTGGTCTGACCCATAGATGTACCCATGTGGTTGCTCCCACCCCACCTCGCCCCTCATTATGACCTCATTATAACCCCATTATGACGTCACTATGACATCACCACCCCCCATCCCGCCCCATAGACGTACCCATATGGGCTCCCGCCCCCCATTATGACCCCATTATGCCGCCATGATGACGTCACTATGACGTCACCGCCCCACAGACGTACCCATGTGGTTGCTCCCACCCCACCTCGCCCCTCATTATGACCCCATTATGATGTCACCACCCCCATCCTGCCCCATAGAAATACCCATGTGGTTGCTCCCACCCCCCATTATGACCCCATTATGACGTCACTATGATGTCACCGCCCCACAGACGTACCCATATGGGCTCCCACCCCCCATTATGGCCCCATTATGACCCCATGATGACGTCACTATGACGTCACCGCCCCATAGATGTACCCATGTGCTTGCTCCCGCCCCACCTCGCCCCTCATTATGACCTCATTATAACCTCATTATGACCCCATTATGACGTCACACCCCCCATCCCGCCCCATAGACTTACCCATATGGGCTCCCACCCCACACCGCATCTCATTATAACCCCATTATGACCCCATTATGACGTCACTATGACGTCACCGCCCCATAGACGTACCCATATGGGCACCCGCCCCACCACGCCCCTCACTATGACCCCATTATGACCTCATCATGACGTCATTACAACCTCGTTATGACGTCACCGCCCCATAGACGTACCCATGTGGTTGCTCCCGCCCCCCATTATGACCCCATGATGACCCCATTATGACGTCACCATGACACCACCACCCCCCATCCCACCCCATAGACGTACCCATGTGCTTGCTCCCGCCCCACCTCGCCCCTCATTATGACCCCATGATGACCCCATTATGACGTCACCGCCCCATAGACGTACCCACATGCATGCTCCCACCCCACACATCTCATTATGACCCCATGATGACGTCACTATGACATCACTGCCCCATAGACGTACCCATATGGGCTCCCGCCCCCCATTATGACCCCATTATAACCCCATTATGACCCCATTATAACCCCATTATGACCCCATTATAACCCCATTATGACCCCATTATGACCCCATTATGACCCCATTATAACCCCATTATGGCCCCATTATAACCCCATTATGGCCCCATTATGACCCCATTATGACCCCATTATAACCCCATTATGACCCCATTATGACCCCATTATGACCCCATTATGACCCCATTATGACCCCATTATGACCCCATTATAACCCCATTATGCCCCCATTATAACCCCATTATGACCCCATTATAACCCCATTATGACCCCATTATAACCCCATTATGACCCCATTATGACCCCCTTATGACCCCATTATAACCCCATTATGACCCCATTATAACCCCATTATGACGTCACTATGACCCCATGATGACGTCACGATGACGTCACCGCCCCACAGACGTACCCATGTGGTTGCTCCCGCCCCACCTCGCCCCTCATTATGACCCCATTGTGACGTCACTACGACATCACCGCCCCATAGACGTACCCATATGGGCTCCTGCCCCCCATTATAACCCCATTATGACCCCATTATGACCCCATGATGACGTCACTATGACGTCACCGCCCCATAGACATACCCATGTGATTGCTCCCACCCCACCTCGCCCCTCATTATGACCTCATTATAACCTCATTATGACCCCATTATGACGCCATTATGACGTCACCACCCCCCATCCCGCCCCATAGACGTACCCATATGGGCTCCCGCCCCCCATTATGACCCCATGATGACGTCACTATGACGTCACTGCCCCATAGACGTACCCATATGGGCTCCCGCCCCCCATTATGACCCCATTATAACCCCATTATGACCCCATTATAACCCCATTATGGCCCCATTGTAACCCCATTATGACCCCATTATGACCCCATGATGACGTCACTATGACGTCACCGCCCCATAGACGTGCCCATGTGGTTGCTCCCGCCCCACCTCGCCCCTCATTATGACCCCATTATGACCCCATGATGACGTCACTATGACATCACCGCCCCATAGACGTACCCATATGGGCTCCCGCCCCACCTCGCCCCTCATCATGACCCCATGATGACGTCACTATGACGTCACCGCCCCATAGACGTACCCATATGGGCTCCTGCCCCACCTCGCCCCTCATTATGACCCCATTATGATGTCACACCCCCCATCCTGCCCCATAGACGTACCCATATGGGCTCCCGCCCCCCATTATGACCCCATTATGATGTCACACCCCCCATCCCGCCCCACAGACGTACCCATATGGGCTCCCGCCCCACATTATGACGCCATTATGACGTCACTATGACGTCACCGCCCCATAGACGTACCCATGTGGCTGCTCCCGCCCCACCTCGCCCCTCATTATGACGCCATTATGACATCACCACCCCCCATCCCGCCCCATAGACGTACCCATATGGGCTCCCACCCCACACCGCGCCCCTCATTATGACCCCATTATGACGTCACTATGACATCACCGCCCCATAGACGTACCCATGTGGTTGCTCCCGCCCCCCATTATGACCCCATTATAACCCCATTATGACCCCATTATAACCCCATTACGACCCCATTATAACCCCATTATGACCCCATTATGACCCCATTATGACGTCACTATGACGCCATTGTGACGTCACGATGACGTCACCGCCCCACAGACGTACCCATGTGGTTGCTGCCTCCTCGGCTTCCTCCTCCTCCTCCTCCTCCTCCTGCCCCACTTCCCCCCGGGTACTTCCCCATGTGGGGCCCGGGCCCCCCCTCGGGTTTGGGGGCTTTGCATTGGTTGCATTCGTTACGCCACGAGAAGTTCATGTTCTCGCAGGCCCTGTGACGTCATCGATGATGTCATAATGATGTCATCGATGACGTCATCGAGGTGGGGTTGTTTTGGGGTGAATTACTCACGGATTGGGGCATTTCCAATCCCCCGCTCGCTGCTGCCCCCCACCGCCGCTGGGGAAACCCCCCCGGGACCCAGAGCCCGAGGAGGAGGCGCCGAAACCGCCGCGACCCATAGGGCCTATGGGGGGGATAATGGGGGTTTTGGGGGGAAATTAGGGGGTTTTGGGTAAAAAATGGGGTTTGGGGGGAATAATGGGGGTTTGGGGGGAAATATGGGGGTTTTGGGGGGAAATATGGGGGTTTTGGGTAAAAAATGGTAAGAAATAGGGGGGTTTGGGTAAAAAATGGGGTTTGGGGGGAAATTAGGGGGTTTTGGGGGGAAATAATGGGGTTTGGGGGGAAAGAATGGGGTTTTGGGGGGAAATCAGGGGGTTTTGGGTAAAAAATGGGGTTTGGGGGGAAAGAAGGGGGTTTTGGGGGGAAATTAGGGGGGTTTGGGTAAAAAATGGGGTTTGGGGGGAAAGAAGGGGGTTTTGGGGGGAAAGAATGGGGTTTGGGGGGGAATAATGGGGTTTGGGGGGTAAAATAAGGGGGTTTTGGGGTGAAATATTGGGGTTTTGGGTAAGAAAATGGTAGGAAATATGGGGTTTTGGGGGGAAATAAGGGGGTTTTTGGGGGAAATAAGGGGGTTTTGGGGGGAAATAAGGGGGTTTTGGGTAGAAAATGGGGTTTGGGGGGAAATTAGGGGGTTTTGGGGGAAAGAATGGGGGTTTTCGGAGGAAATATGGGGGTTTTGGGGGGAAATAAGGGGGTTCTGGGGGGAAATAATGGGGTTTTGGGGGGGAAATAATGGGGTTTTGGGGGTGAAATAGGGGGTTTTGGGGGGAAATAATGGGGTTTGGGGTAAGAAAATGGTACGAAATAGGGGGTTTGGGGGGAAATAATGGGGTTTTGGGGGGAAAGAATGGGGGTTGGGTAAAAAAATGGTAGGAAATATGGGGTTTTGGGGGAAAGAATGGGGTTTTGGGGGGAAATAATGGGGTTTTGGGGGTGAAATAAGGGGGTTTTGGGGGTGAAATAAGGGGGTTTTTGGGGGGAAATGTGGGGGGAAATAATGGGGTTTTGGGGGGAAATAATGGGGTTTTGGGGGGAAATAATGGGGGTTTTGGGGGGAAAGAATGGGGGTTTGGGGGGAAATTATGGGGTTTGGGGGGAAATAATGGGGGTTTGGGGTGAAATAATGGGGTTTTGGGGGGAAATAATGGGGGTTTTGGGGGGAAATAATGGGGGTTTTGGGGGGAAATAATGGGGTTTTGGGGGAAATAATGGGGTTTTGGGGGAAATAATGGGGTTTTGGGGGGAAATAATGGGGTTTGGGGGGGAAATAATGGGGTTTTGGGTAAAAAATGGGGTTTGGGGGAAAGAATGGGGGTTTGGGGGGAAATTAGGGGGTTTTGGGAGAAATAATGGGGTTTTGGGGGGAAATAATGCAGTTTTGGGTAAAAGGAATGCAGGAAATATGGGGTTTTGGGGGGAAATAATGGGGGTTTGGGGGGAAATAATGGGGGTTTGGGGGGGAAAGAATGGGGTTTGGGGGGGAAATAAGGGGGTTTTGGGTAAAAAATGATAAGAAATAGGGGGTTTGTGGGGAAATAATGGGATTTGGGGGGAAAGAATGGGGCTTTGGGGGGAAATAATGGGGTTTGGGGGGAAATAAGGGGTATTTGGGTAAAAAAAAGGGAGGAAATAGGGGGGTTTTGGGGGGGAAATAATGGGGTTTTTGGTAAAAGAATGGGGTTTTGGGTAAAAGAATGGTAGGAAATATGGGGGTTTGGGGGAAAGAATGGGGTTTGGGGGTGAAATAAGGGGGTTTTGGGGGGAAATTAGGGGGTTTTGGGTAAAAGAATGGTAGGAAATATGGGGTTTTGGGGAGAAATAATGGGGGTTTGGGGGGAAATATGGGGGTTTTGGGGGGAAATTAGGGGGTTTTGGGTAAAAAAATGGTAGAAAATATGGGGTTTTGGGGAGAAATAATGGGGTTTGGGGGGAAATAAGGGGGTTTGGGTAAAAGGAAGGTAAGAAATAGGGGATTTGGGGGAAATAATGGGGTTTTGGGGGTGAAGTAAGGGGGTTTGGGGGCAAATATGGGGGTTTTGGGGGTGAAATAATGGGGTTTTGGGGGGAATAATGGGGTTTGGGGGTGAAATAATGGGGTTTGGGGGGAAATAATGGGGTTTGGGGGGAATAATGGCGGTTTGGGTAAAAGAATGGTAGGAAATAGGGGGTTTGGGGGGAAAGAATGGGGTTTTGGGGGGGAAATAATGGGGGTTTGGGGGAAATCAGGGGGATTTGGGTAAAAAAATGGTAGGAAATATGGGGTTTTGGGGGGAAAGAATGGGGATTTGGGGGGGGAAAGAGTGGGGTTTTGGGGTGAAAACATGGGGTTTTGAGGGGAAATGAGATTTTGGGGTGAAATAATGGGGTTTGGGGTAAAAAAATGGTAGGAAATATGGGGTTTGGGGGAAATAATGGGGTTTTGGGGTGAAATAAGGGGGTTTTGGAATAAAATAAGGGGGTTTTGGGGGGAAATAAGGGGGTTTGGAGGGAAAGAATGGGGTTTTCGTGGGAAATCAGGGAGGTTTTGGGGGAAATGGGGTTTTGGGTAAAAAATGGTAGGAAATATGGGGGTTTGGGGGAAATAATGGGGTTTTGGGGTGAAATAAGGGGGTTTTGGAATGAAATAAGGGGGTTTTGGGGGAAATAAGGGGGTTTGGAGGGAAAGAATGGGGTTTAGGGGGGAAATAAGGGGGTTTTGGGTAAAAGGAAGGTAAGAAATACAGGATTTTGGGGTGGAAAAGCAGGATTTTGGGGTGAAAAGGATGATTTGGGGGTGAAAATGCAGGATTTTGGGTTGAAAAGGGCAGATTTTGGGGTGAAAAGGTTGATTTTGGGTTGAAAAAGGCAGATTTTGGGGTGAAAATGCAGGATTTTGGGTTGAAAAAGGCGGATTTTAGGGTGAAAAGGATGATTTTGGGGTGAAAATGCAGGATTTTGGGTTGAAAAAGGCAGATTTTGGGGTGAAAATGCAGGATTTTGGGGTGGAAAAGGGGGATTTTGGGGGCAAAAATGGCGATTTTTGGGTGAAAAGGATGATTTCGGGGTGAAAAGGGTGATTTTGGGTTGAAAAAGGCAGATTTTGGGGTGAAAAGGATGATTTTGGGGTGAAAAGGGCAATTTTGGGGTGGAAAAGGGTAATTTTGGGGTGGAAAAGGGTGATTTTGGGTTGAAAAAGGCAGATTTTGGGGTGAAAAGGATGATTTTGGGGTGAAAAGGGAATTTTGGGGTGGAAAAGGGTGATTTTGGGTTGAAAAAGGCAGATTTTGGGGTGAAAAGGATGATTTTGGGGTGAAAATGCAGGATTTTGGGGTGAAAAGGATGATTTTGGGGTGAAAAATGCAAGATTTTGGGGTGAAAAGGATGATTTTGGGGTGAAAAATGCAGGATTTTGGGGTGAAAAGGATGATTTTGGGGTGAAAAAAGCAGATTTTGGGGTGAAAAGGATGATTTTGGGGTGGAAAAGGGTGATTTTGGGTTGAAAAAGGCGGATTTTGGGGTGAAAAGGGTGATTTTGGGTTAAAAAAGGCAGATTTTGGGGTGAAAATGCAGGATTTGGGGTTGAAAAGCAGGACTTTGGGTTGAAAAAGGCGGATTTTAGGGTGAAAAGGATGATTTTGGGGTGAAAATGCAGGATTTTGGGTTGAAAAAGGCAGATTTTGGGGTGAAAATGCAGGATTTTGGGGTGGAAAAGGGGGATTTTGGGGGTAAAAATGGCGATTTTTGGGTGAAAAGGATGATTTTGGGGTTGAAAAGGATGATTTTGGGTTGAAAAAGGCAGATTTTGGGGTGAAAAGGATGATTTTGGGGTGGAAAAGGGTGATTTTGGGTTGAAAAAGGCAGATTTTGGGGTGAAAAGGATGATTTTGGGGTGGAAAAGGGTGATTTTAGGTTGAAAAAGGCAGATTTCGGGGTGAAAATGCAGGATTTGGGGTTGAAAAGCAGGACTTTGGGTTGAAAAAGGCGGATTTTAGGGTGAAAAGGATGATTTTGGGGTGAAAATGCAGGATTTTGGGTTGAAAAAGGCAGATTTTGGGGTGAAAATGCAGGATTTTGGGGTGGAAAAGGGGGATTTTGGGGGCAAAAATGGCGATTTTTGGGTGAAAAGGATGATTTCGGGGTGAAAAGGGTGATTTTGGGTTGAAAAAGGCAGATTTTGGGGTGAAAAGGATGATTTTGGGGTGAAAAGGGCAATTTTGGGGTGGAAAAGGGTAATTTTGGGGTGGAAAAGGGTGATTTTGGGTTGAAAAAGGCAGATTTTGGGGTGAAAAGGATGATTTTGGGGTGAAAAGGGAATTTTGGGGTGGAAAAGGGTGATTTTGGGTTGAAAAAGGCAGATTTTGGGGTGAAAAGGATGATTTTGGGGTGAAAAATGCAGGATTTTGGGGTGAAAAGGATGATTTTGGGGTGAAAAAAGCAGATTTTGGGGTGAAAAGGATGATTTTGGGGTGGAAAAGGGTGATTTTGGGTTGAAAAAGGCGGATTTTGGGGTGAAAAGGATGATTTTGGGTTGAAAAAGGCAGATTTTGGGGTGAAAATGCAGGATTTGGGGTTGAAAAGCAGGACTTTGGGTTGAAAAAGGCGGATTTTAGGGTGAAAAGGATGATTTTGGGGTGAAAATGCAGGATTTTGGGTTGAAAAAGGCAGATTTTGGGGTGAAAATGCAGGATTTTGGGGTGGAAAAGGGGGATTTTGGGGGTAAAAATGGCGATTTTTGGGTGAAAAGGATGATTTTGGGGTTGAAAAGGATGATTTTGGGTTGAAAAAGGCAGATTTTGGGGTGAAAAGGATGATCTTGGGGTGGAAAAGGGTGATTTTGGGTTGAAAAAGGCAGATTTTGGGGTGAAAAGGATGATTTTGGGGTGGAAAAGGGTGATTTTAGGTTGAAAAAGGCAGATTTCGGGGTGAAAATGCAGGATTTGGGGTTGAAAAGCAGGACTTTGGGTTGAAAAAGGCGGATTTTAGGGTGAAAAAGATGATTTTGGGGTGAAAATGCAGGATTTTGGGTTGAAAAAGGCAGATTTTGGGGTGAAAATGCAGGATTTTGGGGTGGAAAAGGGGGATTTTGGGGGTAAAAATGGCGATTTTTGGGTGAAAAGGATGATTTTGGGGTTGAAAAGGATGATTTTGGGTTGAAAAAGGCAGATTTTGGGGTGAAAAGGATGATTTTGGGGTTGAAAAGCAGGATTTTGGGTTGAAAAAGGCAGATTTTGGGTTGAAAAAGGCAGATTTTGGGTTGAAAAAGGCGGATTTCAGGGTGAAAAGGGTGATTTTGGGTTGAAAAAGGCAGATTTTGGGGTTGAAAAGCAGGATTTTGGGTTGAAAAAGGCAGATTTTGGGTTGAAAAAGGCAGATTTTGGGTTGAAAAGGGTGATTTTGGGTTGAAAAAGGCGGATTTCGGGGTGAAAAGGATGATTTTGGGTTGAAAAAGGCAGATTTCGGGGTGAAAAGGATGATTTTGGGTTGAAAAAGGCAGATTTTGGGGTGAAAAAGGCAGATTTTGGGGTGGAAAAGGGTGATTTTGGGTTGAAAAAGGCAGATTTCGGGGTGAAAAAGGCAGATTTTGGGGTGAAAAAGGCAGATTTTGGGGTGAAAAGGGCAATTTTGGGGTGGAAAAGGGTGATTTTGGGTTGAAAAAGGCAGATTTCGGGGCGATTCGTTGCTCACCTCCCCGTCCGCGGCCGCCCCGTCCGCCGCCGCCGCCGCGGTTGAAGTCAGCGCGCCGCGTGGCGAACGAGACCTTGATGGGGTTCCCCGAGAACTCTTTGCCTAAAACAGGCGGAAACAGCCCCAAAAATGAGGTGTTTTTTTTGGGGGGGGGAGGGGGGTGGGCGTGGTCATGGAAAGGGGGGCGGGGCCTCACCGTCGAACCAATCGATGGCGGCTTTGGCGGAGGGGGGGTCATCGAAGGAGACCGTGGCCTCCCCCTTGAGCTTGCCGGTCTCGCGGTCCGTGTAGAGGTTGATCATGGGCTGCCCCGTCTTCTTGTTGGTCTGAGGGGGGGGAACATGCTAAGGACACGCTAAGGACACGTGAAGGACATGCTAAGGACACGCGAAGGACATGCTAAGGACACGCAAAGGGCACGCGAAGGACACACTAAGGACATGGTAAGGACATGCTAAGGACACGTTAAGGGCATGCTAAGGACACGCAAAGGGCACGCGAAGGACACACTAAGGACATGGTAAGGAAACACTAAGGACACGGCAAGGAAACACTAAGGACATGCTAAGGACACGGTAAGGAAACACTAAGGATACGGTAAGGAAACACTAAGGACATGCTAGGGACACGCTAAGGACACACTAAGGACATGCTAAGGACACGTGAAGGACATGCTAAGGACACGCGAAGGGCACGCGAAGGACACACTAAGGACATGGTAAGGAAACACTAAGGACACGGCAAGGAAACACTAAGGACATGCTAAGGACACGGTAAGGAAACACTAAGGATACGGTAAGGAAACACTAAGGACATGCTAGGGACACGCTAAGGACACACTAAGGACATGCTAAGGACACGTGAAGGACATGCTAAGGACACGCGAAGGGCACGCGAAGGACACACTAAGGACATGGTAAGGAAACACTAAGGACACACTAAGGGCACGCGAAGGACACACTAAGGACATGGTAAGGAAACACTAAGGACATGCTAAGGACACATGAAGAACATGCTAAGGACATGGTAACGACATGGTAAGGGAACACTAAGGACACGGTAAGGAAACACTAAGGACATGGTAAGGCCACGTGAAGGACATGGTAAGGACATGGTAAGGACATGGTAAGGAAACACTAAGGACACGGTAAGGAAACACTAAGGACATGGTAAGGACACGTGAAGGACATGCTAAGAACATGGTAAGGAAACACTAAGGACACGGTAAGGAAACGCTAAAAACATGCTAAGGACACGCTAAGGACATGGTAAGGACACGCGAAGGATACAAAACACTAAGGACATGCTAAGGACATGCGAAGGACACGGTAAGGAAACACTAAGGACATGCTAAGGACACGCTAAGGGCATGCAAAGGACACGCAAGCAATACGCGAAGGACACGCTAAGGACATGGGAAGGGCACGCGAAGGGCACACGAAGGAGATGATAAGGGCACGCGAATGACATGCTAAGGACATGCTAAGGACATGCAAAGGACGTGCTAAGGACATGTTAAGGGCATGCTAAGGGCACGCAAATGACGCTAAAGACATGCTGAGGACACACGAAGGGCACATTAAGGACATGTGAAGGACAGGCTAAGGACATGCTAAGGACACAAAGGACACGCGAAGGGCACGCTAAGTAAGGAGATGCAAAGGACACACGAATGACATGCTAACAACACGCGAATGACACGCTAAGGACATGCAAAGGACACGCTAAGGACACACGAAGGGCACATGAATGACGCTAAGGACATTTTAAGGGCACGCGAAGCACATGCGAATGACACTAAGGACATGCGAAAGGGCACGCGAAGGGCACTAAAGACATGTTAAGGGCATGTTAAGAGCATGCTAAGGAGACACAAAGGACACGTGAATGACACGCTAAGGACATGCTAAGGAGACGCAAAGGACACGCGAAGGACACATGAGGGACACACTAAGAACATCCTAATGGCACAGTAAGAACATGCTAAGGACACACGAACGACATGCAAATGACACACGAAGGATATGCTAAGGACACACTAAGGAGATGCTAAGGACACACGAAGGGCACGCGAATGACGCTAAGAACATGCTAAGGACACACAAAGGACATGCAAAGGGCACGCTAAGGACAGGCTAAGGGCATGCTAAGGACGCGAAGAACACGCTAAGGACACGTGAAGGACACGCTAAGGACGTGCTAAGGGCACGCGAAGGACATGCTAAGGGCAGGCAAAAGACACACAAAGGACATGCTACGGACATGCGAAGGACACGATAAGGGCACGCGAAGGATGCACTAAGGACACGCAGAGGACACGCGAAGGGCACGCTAAGGACACATGAAAGGCATGCTAAAGGCACGCTAAGGACATGAGAAGGGCACGCTAAGGACACGCTAAGGTCACGCTAAGGAAATGCTAAGGACACGCCAGAGCTATCACCCCAGTGGCCGCTGGGGCACTGCCCCATGGACACAGAGCCATGGGCTGAATGCCACAGCGAACACGCTAACAACCAGCTACAAACATGCTATAAACACGGTCAAACATGCTAAGAACACGCTCAAACACGCCAAGAACATGTTAAGAACACGCCAGCCCCATCACCCCAGCACCGCTGCCCAATGACACGGAGCCACGTGGAGATCACACAACGGGCGAGTGAAGAACATGCTAAGGACACGCTAAGGACACGCTAAGAACACGCTAAGGACACGCTAAGGGCCCCCCCATCACCTTGATGATGCCGATCTGCTTGAAGTAGTCGGCCACCGACTCAATGGTGACGTTCTCGCCCAGGCCCTGCACGAAGATGGTGTTGTTGTCCGAGTTATCCTGGTCGCCTGCGTGAAACACAGCTCGTTAATGCTAATTTATGCTAATGAACCCTAATTAAGGCTCGTTAACAGGGCCTCATTAATTTCAGGCCCCTCATTGACCCCACCTGCTTCATTAAACGACATTAACCCCCAGTTATCTTGGTCACCTAACATGAAACACAGCTTGTTAATGCTAATTTATGCTAATGAACCCTAATTAAGGCTCACTGACCGGCCCTAATTAACCTCAGGCCCCTCACTGACCCCACTGGCTTCATTAAACGCCATTAACCCTGAGTTATTCTGGTCGTCTGCATGAAACACAGCTCGTTAATGCTAATTTATGCTAATTAACCCTAATTAAGGCTCGTTAACCGCCCCTCATTCATACCAGGCCCCTCATTGACCCCACCCGCTTCATAAAACACCACTAACCCCCAGTTATCTTGGTCACCTAACAGGCAACACAGCTCATTAATGCTAATTTATGCTAATGAACCCCCAGTTATCCTGGTCATCTGCATGAAACACAGCTCATTAATGCTAATTTATGCTAATGAACCCCCAGTTATCCTGGTCGTCTGCATGAAACACAGCTCATTAATGGTAATTTATGCTAATGAACCCTAATTAAGGCTCGTTAACTAGCCCGCATTAACCCCTGCCCCCTCACTGACCCCACCTGCTTCATTAAACACCATTAACCCTCAGTTATCCTGGTCACCTAACAGGCAACACAGCTCATTAATGCTAATTTATGCTAATGAACCTTAATTAAGGCTCATTAACCGCCCCTCATTAACCCCAGGCCCCTCACTGACCCCACCTGCTTCATTAAACACAATTAACCCCCACTTATCCTGGTCACCTAACAGGCAACACAGCTCATTAATGCTAATTTATGCTAATGAACCATAATTAAGGCTCGTTAACCAGCCCTCATTAACCCCTGCCCCCTCACTGACCCCACGTGCTTCATTAAACACCATTAACACCCACTTATCCTGGTCATGTAACAGGCAACACAGCTCATTAATGCTAATTTATGCTAATGAACCCTAATTAAGGCTCGTTAACCGTCCCTCATTAACCTCAGGCCCCTCACTGACCCCACGCGCTTCATTAAACACCATTAACCCCCAGTTATCCTGGTCACCTAACAGGCAACACAGCTCATTAATGCTAATTTATGCTAATGAACCCTAATTAAGGCTCATTAACAGGGCCTCATTAACCCCTGCCCCCTCACTGACCACACCCGCTTCATTAAACACCATTAACCCCCAGTTATCCTGGTCACCTGCGTGAAACACAGCTCGTTAATGCTAATTTATGCTAATGAACCCTAATTAAGGCTCGTTAACAGGGCCTCATTAACCTCAGGCCCCTCACTGACCCCACGTGCTTCATTAAACACCATTAACCCCCACTTATCCTGGTCACCTAACAGGCAACACAGCTCATTAATGCTGATTTATGCTAATTAACCCTAATTAAGGCTCATTAACAGGCCCTCATTCACCCCAGGCCCCTCACTGACCCCACCTGCTTCATTAAACACCATTAACCCTGAGTTATCCCGGTCGTCTGCATGAAACACAGCTCATTAGTGCTAATTTATGCTAATTAACCCTAATTAAGGCTCATTAACCGCCCCTCATTAACCCCAACCCCTTCATTAAACCTCATTAACCTTGAGTTATGCAGGTCACCTCTATGGAACACAGCTAATTAACAGGAATTAATGCTAATTAACCCTAATAACCCCAACCCGCACATTAACCCCTGAATGACCCCAATTAAATCTAATTAACTCTCTAATTAACCTCTTAATGACCCCAAGCCCTAAATTAACCCCTTAATAACCCCAATTAACCGCCAATGACCCCAAAGCCCGTAATGACCCCAATTAACTACTAATTTACCCCCTAATGACCCCAATTAACCCCTGAATGACCCCAATTAACCCCTAATTAACAGCCTAAATTAACCCATTAACCTCTTAATGAACCCCATGACCCCAACCCCTAAATTAACCCCCTAATGACCGCAATTAACCACTAATCAACCCCTTATTGACCCCATCTAAGCCCTTCCTGACCCCAATTAACCACTAATTAACCCCTTATTGACCCCAATTAACTACTCATTAACCCCTTAATAACCTCAATTAACTCCTAATTAACCCCTTATTGACCCCAATTAACTACTCATTAACCCCTTAATAACCCCAACTCCTAATCAACCCCTTATTGACCCCAATTTACTACAAATTAAACCCTTCTTGACCCCACTTAATTAACCCCTTAATGACCCAATCAGCTACTAATTAATTTTTAACAACCCCAATTAACTAATTAACCCCTTATTGACCTCAACCACTAATTAACCTCTAAATCACCCCAATTAACCCCTAATTAACCCGTCAATGACCCCAATTCACTAATAATTAACCCCATAATGACCCAATTAACCCCTTAATCAACCCAATTAACCCCTAATTAACCCCAATTAACCCCAAATTATCCCCTTAATGACCCCAATTCACTAGTAATTAACCCCTTAATGACACGATTAACCCCTTAATCGACCCAATTAACCCTCAATTAACCCCTAGTTAACCCCAATTAACCCAAATTAACCCCTTAATTACCCCAATTCACTAATAATTAACCCCTTAATCAACCCAATTAATCCCTTAATGACTCCAATTAACCCCAATTAACACCTAATTAGCCCCAATTAACCCCTTAATGACCCCAATTCGCTAATAATTAACCCCTTAATGACCCAATTAACCCCTTAATAGGCCCGATTAATCCCTTAATGACCCCAATTAACCCCTTAATGATCCCAATTCACTATTAACCCCTTAATAGACCCAATTAACCCCTTAATGACCCCAATTAACCATCAATTAACCCCTAATTAACCCCAATTAACCCCTAATTAATGACCCCAATTAACCCCTAATTAATGACCCCAATTACCTGCATCATGCCTTGGCCCTTGGTCCCGGGGTCCTTTATTTGGGGGGGGAGGGAGGGGTTCCACATGCAAAAAGCAACATAACGAAGCATTAATTAACCCATTTGTTAATTAAGGGGGGGGGGGGCACGCCCACCCCTCCCCCCACCTTTCACCCCCTTCCTCCCCCCCATTTTGGGGCCAAAACCCCGCTTTTTGGGGCCGAAAATCACAAAAAAAACCAGCACCCCTTTTTTGGGGTCAAAGCCTCAGGTTTTGGGGCTTCCCCCCCCAACCCATTTTGGGGGCAAACCCGGCCTTTTTGGGCCACTCGGTGAAGAAATAGCCGTTTTTGTTCGCTCACACCAACCTCCGGTCGCCGGCCAAGCCCCCAAAACCCCGCTTTTTCCACCCAAAACTGCCCCTGCCTTTGGGCTAAAAAACGCCTTTTTTGACCCAAAAAAAACCCCGCTTTTTTTGTAGCGCGCTTTTACCCGGTTTTACCTTTTTTTGGGGGGCTTTTTTGAGCACTTTTTCCCCTTTTTTGGCCGTTTTCACCTCATTTTCACCATTTCCACCTCCTTTTCGGGGGGGTTTACCTCCTTTTTCCCATTTTCACCTTGTTTGCACTCATTTTTCACCTCGTTTTCTCAGGTTTTACCTCGTTTTTCCCATTTTCACCTCATTTTCTCAGTTTTTACCTCGTTTTTCCCATTTTTACCTCATTTTTTCCTGTTTTCATCTTTTTTTCTCAGTTTTTACCTCGTTTTTCCCATTTTTACCTCATTTTTACCATTTTCACCTCATTTTCCCAGTTTTTACCTCGTTTTTCCCATTTCCACCTCATTTTCTCAGTTTTTACCTCGTTTTTCCCATTTTTACATCATTTTTTCCCGTTTTCATCTTTTTTTCTGTTTTTACCTCATTTTTCCCATTTTCACCTCATTTTCTCAGTTTTCACCTCATTTTTCCCATTTTCACCTCATTTTTCCCATTTTCACCTCATTTTCTCAGTTTTCACCTTTTTTCCCATTTTCACCTCATTCTTTCCCCATTTTCATCTTTTTCACCTGATTTTTTTCCCGTTTTCACCTCATTTTTTATTACTTTTTTCCATTTTCACCTCATTTATCCCATTTTCATCTTTTTCTGTTTTTAACCTTGTTTTTCCCATTTTCACCTCATTTTTCCCATTTTCACCTCATTTTTTTCCATTTTCACCTCGGTTTTCCCATTTTTACCTCATTTTTTCCCGTTTTCATCTTTTTTCTCAGTTTTTAACCTCGTTTTTCCCATTTTCACCTCGTTTTCTGTTTTTACCTCGTTTTTCCCATTTTCACCTCATTTTTCCCATTTTCACTTCATTTTCTCAGTTTCCACCTCATTTTTCCCATTTTCACCTCATTTTCTCAGTTTTTACCTCGTTTTTCCCATTTTCTTTTTTTCCCGTTTTCATCTTTCTTTCTCAGTTTTCACCTCATTTTTTCCATTTTCACCTCATTTTTTCCCATTTTCACCTCCTTTTGCCCATTTTCACCTCATTATTTTCCATTTTCATCTTTTTCTCAGGTTTTAACCTTCTTTTTCCCATTTTCACCTCGTTTTTCCCATTTTCATCTCATTATTTTCCCATTTTCATCTTTTTCTCAGTTTTTAACCTCGTTTTTCCCATTTTCACCTGATTTTTTTTCCATTTTCACCTCATTTTTTGCTTTTTTACCTTTTTTTCCCATTTTCACCTCATTTTTGTTCCATTTTCACCTCCTTTTTCCCGTTTTCAACTCATTTTTTCGGTTTTTACCTCATTTTTCCCATTTCCACCAATTTTTTTTTCCATTTTTACCCCATTCTTTTCCCATTTTCATCTTTTTCTCAGTTTTTAACCTCATTTTTCCCATTTTCACCTCGTTTTTCCCATTTTCACCTCCTTTTTCCCGTTTTCACCTCATTTTTTCCAGTTTTTACCTCATTTTTCCCATTTTCACCTCCTTTTTCCCGTTTTCACCTCATTTTGCCCATTTTCACCTCATTTTCACCGTTTTCACCTCATTTTTTCCATTTTCACCTCATTTTCCACCGTTTTCACTTCATTTTCACTTTTTTGCCCATTTTCACCCATTTCCACCTTTTTCACATTTATAGCCATTTTTTTACCCATTTTCCCTTATTTTCACACTTTCCCTTTTTACCAATTTCCACTTTTTTTACCAATTTTCACCTTTCCTCCCCAATTTTTCCTTATTTTCTCCATTTTCAGTTTTTTCCCCATTTTCACCTCATTTTCCCTCGTTTTCCTGAATTTTCACCTTTTTTCAACATTTTCACCTCATTTTCCCCCTTTTCCCCTCATTTTCTCCATTTTCCCCTCATTTTCCCCATTTTCACCTCTTTTTCCCCTCGTTTTCCCCAATTTTCACCTTTTTTCAACATTTTCACCTCATTTTCCCCCTTTTCCCCTCATTTTCTCCATTTTCCCCTCATTTTCCCCATTTTCACCTCATTTTCCCTCGTTTTCCCGAATTTTCACCTTTTTTCAACATTTTCACCTCATTTTCCCCCTTTTCACCTCATTTTCCCCATTTTCACCTCATTTTCCCCATTTTCACCTCATTTTCCCCGTTTTTCTCCGTTTCCACCTCATTTTTCACCTTTTTGCCCAATTCCACCTCATTTTCCCCTCGTTTTCCCCAATTTTCACCTTTTTTCAACATTTTCCCCTCATTTCCCCATTTTCACTTCATTTTCCCCGTTTTCCTCCGTTTCCACCTCGTTTTTCACCTTTTTGCCCAATTCCACCTCTTTTTCCCCCATTCTCTCGGCCGCTTTCCCCCCAAAATGCCCCATTTCCCCCTCCTTTCATCACAAAAAGGATGGAAAGGGGGGGGGGGGAGGGATGGGCGATGGGGGCGGGGCGTCCCCCCCTCCCCCACCCCCAAAAAGCGCCATTTTTGGACAAAACCCCCCCCCCCAAGCGTTACCAAAAACCACCAGTTCCGTTTTGGGGCAAATCCCCGAGGTTTTGGGGTTTTCCCGGCCACTTACCCCCGAATTTATTGAAGCCACCGCGCTCACCACCGCTGAGGAGATAAATTAGAAGACAAAAAATGAAACTTTTGGGGCTCGGGCCCCTCCCCCCCCAAAATTTTGGGGCGAAAACGACACAAAACGAGCAAAAAGGAGAAAAAAACGGCACTTTGGAGGCCGTTTTTGGGGCAAAAAGCAGCCGTTTTGGGTGTTTTGGGGAAGAGGGGGGGGGGGTGTTTCCATCCGGTGCCGTCTCTCTGCTGCGGGCGTTGAGCAGCCCCAATTCGGGCGGGTTTTGCCCCAAAAATCCACTTATGGGGCGGAAATGGGGGGTGTGGGGGTTTTGATTCGTTTCCATTGCTTTCATCACCCCAGTTTTGGGTTTAAAAGGGGCGCTTTTGGGCCCTTTTTTGGGGTGGTTTTGTGCGTTTTTTTTTGGTTTGCTTTCCCAGCGCTCTCAAAACTGAACGTTTCTGTGCCCTCTTTTGCCCTTTTCTGCCTGTTTTTAACCCAAAACCAAGCCCAACCACGGCCTGCTGGTCACCTGCAGCACACAAAAGGCAGAGGGTCGTTAACAGCCATCACAATACAAGCACCCGCCGCATCCCATAATACTCACCTGGAAGGGGGGGGGGACACGACACCAACAGAGCCCCCAAAAACGGCTTTTTTCCACCCAAAAAACGGGTTGAAAACCATCGGTTTTGCCCCTTTTTTCAAGCACCGGACCCAAACCGGCGCTTTTTCACCCCAAAACCGCTGTCGGTTTTTGACCTTAGTGACATCATCACCGTGCCCATATATGGGGCTGAACCCGTCCCGTCTCCCCCCCCCCAAGCCGGCACCGGAGGCTTCCAAAAAAAGCAACTTTTGCCCAAAACCGGGTTTTTTTTTTGCGCGCGTTTTGACCCAAAAGCACCTTTTTTTACCCCAAATCCGCGGGGTGTGACCCAAAAAAAACCACCTTTTTTTGGGGGTTTTTCGCCCCCGTTTTATGCGTTTGGACCCAAAAACCACCTTTTTCACCCCAAATCCGCGGGGTTGCACTCCAAACCCACCTTTTTCCTCCAATTTTAGGGGTTTTGACCCAAAATCCACCTTTTTCCGCTCAAAATCTGCGGGGTTTCACCCAAAAACCACCTTTTTTTTCCCCGATTCTCTGCGTTTTGATGCAAAAACTACCTTTTTTTTCACCACGAAAACTGCGGGGTTTCACCCCAAAACCACCTTTTCCACTCCTCTTCCATGCGTTTTGACCCAAAATCCACCGCTTTTCACCCAAAATCGGGGTGGTTTGACCCAAAAACCATCTCGTTTTCCCCTCATTTCATGCATTTTGACCCCAAAACCACCTTTTACCCCCGAAATCCGCGGGGTTTCACTCAAAAACCACCTTTCCTCTCCGACTCGACGCGTTCTGACCCAAAAACCACCTTTTTCAGCCCAAAATCTGCGGGGGGTTGACCCAAAAACCACCTTTTTTCTGCCCGATTTTCCGCGTTTTGATCCAAAAACCACCTTTTCCCCCCCAAATTTGGGGGGGGTCGACCCAAAAATCACCTTTTTCACCGCTATTTCATGCATTTTGAGCCCCAAAATCGACGTCGGTTGAACCAAAAACCACCTTTTTTGCCCCATTTTGTGTGTTCTGACCCAAAATCCACCTTTTTCCCCCCAAATTTTAGGCATTTCGACCCGAACCCCCACTTTTTTGACCCAAAACCCACCTTTTTTCCCCCAAATGTGGCACATTTTGAACCCCAAAACATAGGGTGCATGAAGAGGGGGGGCTCCCATTGACCCCCATTGACCTCATTGAGCCCCACTGAGCCCCATTGACGCCCATTGACCCCCATTGACCTCACTGAGCCCCATTGACTCCCATTGAGCCCCATTGACTCCCATTGACCTCACTGAGCCCCACTGAGCCCCATTGACCTCACTGAGCCCCACTGACTCCCATTGAGCCCCATTGACTCCCATTGACCTCATTGAGCCCCATGGATTCCCATTGAGCCCCATTCACCTCGAGCCCCACTGAGCCCCACTGACTCCCATTGAGCCCCATTGACTCCCATTGACCTCATTGAGCCCCATTGACCTCCTTGAGCCCCACTGACTCCCATTGAGCCCCATCGACCTCATTGAGCCCCACTGACTCCCATTGAGCCCCATTGACCTGAGCCCCACTGACTCCCATTGACCTCACTGAGCCCCATTGACCTCCTTGAGCCCCACTGAGCCACACTGACTCCCATTGAGCCCCATTGACCTCACTGAGCCCCACTGACGTCACTGAGCCCCACTCCCACTAAACCTCACCGACCTGAGCCCCACTGACTCCCACTGAGCCCCATTGACCCCCGTTGAGCCCCACTGACTTCCACTGACCCCCACTGACTCCCATTGACCCCCATTGACTTTCCTTGACCCCCATTGACTCCCACTGACCTCCACTGTTCTCCACTGACCCCCATTGAGCCCCACTGACCCCTACTGTCTTCCCTTGACCCCCATTGACATCCACTGACCCCCATTGACCCCTATTGACTTTCACTAATCTCCACTGACCCCCATTGACTCCCGTTGACCCCCATTGACTTCCCTTGACCCCCACTGACTTCCCTTGACCCCCATTGACCCCTATTGACCCCCATTGACTTCCCTTGACCCCCATTGACCCCTACTGACCCCCATTGACTTCCCTTGACCCCCATTGACTCCACTGACTTCCCTTGACCCCCATTGACCCCTATTGACCCCCATTGACTCCCACTGACATCCACTGACCCCCATTGACTTTCACTGATCTCCACTGACCCCCATTGACTCCCGTTGACTTCCCTTGACCCCCATTGACCCCTATTGACCCCCATTGCCCCCCATTGCCCCCCACTGACCCCCATCGCCCCCCCCACACCTACCCCATAGCGTTGCTGCCTCCGCGGCCTCCCCGGTTGCCGCGGCCGCCCCGGTCGTAGCCGCCCCGGTTGTAGGCCCCACGGCCCCGGCTCCGCTCCGCCGGCGCCCCCCCATAGGAGCCTTGGTCCTGGTACCCCCCCCCGCTGCTCAGCGACGGCGCCTCCTGGCTGTAGCTGGAGCCTGCAGAAATGAACCAAAACGGGGGGGGTTTACCCCAAAATTGCTTTGTTTCAACTCAAAATTGCTTTTACACCAAAATTGCTTTGTTTCAACTCAAAATTGCTTTGTTTCAACTCAAAATTGCTTTGTTTCAACTCAAAATTGCTTTGTTTCACCCTAAAATCGCTTTGTTTCACCCCAAGATCGCTTCATTTAACCCCAAAATCGCTTCATTTCACCCCAGAATCGCTTCGTTTCGCCCCAGAATTCCTTCGTTTCGCCCCAGAATTCCCTCGTTTCGCCCCAAAATCGCTTCATTTAACCCCAAAATTGTTTCGTTTCACCCCAAAACTGTTTCGTTTCACCCCAAAATTGTTTCGGTTCACCCATAAATCACTTCGTTTCACCCCAAAATCGCTTTGTTTCACCCCAAAATCGGTTTGCTATACCCCAAAATCGCTTCGTTTCACCCCAAAATCGCTTCGTTTCGCCCCAAAATCGCTTCGTTTCGCCCCAAAATCGCTTTGTTTCACCCCAAAATCGCTTCAGTTAACCCCAAAATCGCTTCAGTTAACCCCAAAATTGCTTCGTTTCACCCCAAGATTGCTTCGTTTCACCCCAAAATTGTTTCGTTTCACCCCAAAATGGCTTCGTTTCGCCCCAAAATCGCTTCATTTAACCCCAAAATTGTTTCGTTTCACCCCAAAATTGTTTCGTTTCAACCCAAAATCTCGCTTCACCCCAAAACCGCTTCGTTTCACCCCAAAATCGCTTCGTTTCGCCCCAAAATCGCCGCGTTTCGCCCCAAAATCGCTTCGTTTCACCCCAAAATTGTTTCGTTTCAACCCAAAACTGTTTCGTTTCAACCCAAAATTGTTTCGTTTCACCCATAAATCACTTCGTTTCACCCCAAAATCGCTTTGTTTCACCCCAAAATCGCTTTGCTATACCCCAAAATCGCTTCGTTTCACCCCAAAATCGCTTCGTTTCACCCCAAAATCGCTTTGTTTCACCCCAAAATCGCTTTGCTATACCCCAAAATCGCTTCGTTTCACCCCAAAATCGCTTCGTTTCACCCCAAAATCGCTTTGCTATACCCCAAAATCGCTTCGTTTCACACCAGAATCGCTTCGTTTCACCCCAAAATCGCTGTTTCACCCCAAAATCGCTGTTTCACCCCAAAATTGCTTTCACCCAAAAATTGCGTCGTTTCACCCCAAAATTGCTTCGTTTCACCCCAAAACTTCCATTTTTCCCTCCAAATTTACATTTTTCCCTAAATTTACATTTCCCCCAATTTTCATTTTCCCCCCAAATACGCATTTTTCCCCCAAATTTACGTTCCCCCTGCCAAATTTACATTTTTTCTTCCGAATTTCTATTTTTTTCCCCCAAATTTACATTGCCCCCCAGATTTACATTCTTCCCCTGAATTTGCATTTTCCCCCAAAATTTACATTTCCCCCCACATTTACATTTCCTCCCCCCAAATTCACATTTTCCCCAAAAATTTACATTTTCCCCCAAATTTACATTTTCCCCCAAATTTTTTTCTCCTAAATTTACATTTTTCCCACAAATTTACATTTTTTCCCAAAAATTCCTATTTCCCCCAAATCTGTTTTTTCCCCCAATTTACATTTCCCCCCCAAATTTACATTTTACCCCCAAATTTACATTTCCTTCCCCCAAATTTACATTTCCCCCCCAAATTTACATTCCCCCCCAATTTACATTTCCTCCCCCCAAATTTACATTTTCCCCCAATTTTTTCTCCTAAATTTACATTTTTCCCCCAAATTTACATTTTCTCCCAAAATGTTTTTTCCCCCAAATTTACATTCCCTCCCAATTTACATTTCCTCCCCCAAATTTACATTTCCCCCCAAATTTACATTTAACCCCCCCAAATCTACATTCCCCCCTCAAATTTACATTCCCCCCCCCAAAATTTACATTCCCTCCCAAATTTACATTTCCCCCCCAAATTTTTTTCCCCTAAATTTACATTTCTCCCAATCTGATTTTTCCTCCAAATTTACATTTCCTCCCCCCAAATTTACATTTTCCCCCAATTTTTTTCCCCCAAATTTACATTCACCCCAAATTTACATTTTCACCCCAAATTTACATTTTCACCCCAAATTTACATTTCCCCCCAAAATTTACACTTTCACCCCAAATTTACATCCCTCCCCCCCAAAATTTACATTCCCCCCCCCAAATTTACATCCCTCCCCCCCCAAATCTCCGTTTTTTCCCCCAAAACCGCTGTCCCCCCCCCCGGGCACTGACCTCCTCCTCCTCCTCCTCCGCCGTACTGGTTCTGCTGGCTGTAGCTGGGGGGGGGGTTGTAGGCCGCCTGTTGGCTGTAGTTGGGCTGTTGCCCGCTGTAGCTGCCCTGGTGGCTGTAGCCGCTGCTGGGGGGCTGCCCGTAGCTGGAGCTCTGCGCGCTGCTGCTGTAGCTGCACCGAAACCCATGCGTTTCACCCAAAAACGTGGCGTTTTGGCCCAAAAATGTGTCATTTTGGCCCAAAAACGTGTTATTTTGGCCCAAAATGCGTCACTTTGACCCCAAAAAGTGTCATTTTGACCCCAAAACGCGTCATTTTGATTCAAAATGCGTCATTTTGGCCCAAAACCGTGTTATTTTGACCCAAAACCGTGTCATTTTGACCCAAAACGCGTCATTTTGACCCCAAAACGCGTCGTTTTGACCCCAAAACGCGTCATTTTGACCCCAAAACGCGTCATTTTGGCCCCAAAACGTGTCAGTTTGACCCAAAAACGTGTCGTTTTGACCCCAAAACGCGTCATTTTGACCCAAAAACGTGTCATTTTGACGCAAAAACGCATCATTTTGGCCCAAAAACGTGTCATTTTGACCCAAACCGTGTCAGTTTGACCCCAAAACGCGTCATTTTGACCCAAAAACGTGCCAGTTTGACCCCAAACGTGTCATTTTGGCCCCAAAACGTGTCGTTTTGGCCCAAAACCGTGTTAGTTTGACCCCAAACGTGTCATTTTGGCCCCAAAACGTGTCGTTTTGGCCCAAAACCGTGTCAGTTTGGCCCAAAACGCGTCATTTTGGCCCAAAACCGTGTCATTTTGGCCCCAAAACGCGTCATTTTGGCCCAAAACCGTGTTATTTTGACCCGAAACCGTGTCATTTTGACCCAAAACGCATCATTTTGACCCCAAAACGCGTCATTTTGACCCAAAAATGTGACGTTTTGGCCCAAAACCATGTCAGTTTGGCCCAAAACGCGTCATTTTGGCCCAAAACCGTGTCGTTTTGACCCCAAAACGCGTCATTTTGACCTAAAAACGCGTCATTTTTACCCAAAACCATGTCATTTTGACCCCAAAACGCGTCATTTTGACCCCAAAATGCGTCATTTTGGCCCCAAAACGCGTCATTTTGGCCCAAAAACGTGTCATTTTGGCCCAAAACGCGTCACTTTGACCCAAAAACGGGTCATTTTGACCCCCAAACGTGTCGTTTTGACCCCAAAATGCGTCATTTTGGCCCAAAAATGTGTCTTTTTGACCCCAAAACGCGTCATTTTGACCCCAAAACGCGTCATTTTGACCCAAAAACGTGTCAGTTTGACCCCAAAACGCGTCATTTTGACCCAAAAACGTGTCACTTTGACCCCAAAAAGTGTCATTTTGACCCAAAAATGTGTCATTTTGACCCCAAAACACGTCATTTTGACCCAAAAAGTGTCACATTGACCCCAAAACGTGTCATTTTGATTCAAAATGCGTCATTTGGGCCCAAAACCGTGTCATTTTGACCCAAAACGCGTCATTTTGACCCAAAAACGTGTCATTTTGGCCCAAAAACGGGTTATTTTGACCCCAAAAACGCGTCACTTTGACCACTGAAACGTGTCATTTTGACCCAAAAACACGTCATTCTGACCCAAAAACGTGTCATTTTGACCCAAAAACGTGTCATTTTGACCCAAAACGCATCATTTTGACCCAAAAAGTGTCATTTTGGCCCAAAATGCGTCATTTTGACCCAAAAACGCGTCATTTTGACACCAAAACGCGTCATTTTGACCCAAAAAGTGTCACACTGACCCCAAAACGTGTCATTTTGATTCAAAATGCATCATTTTGACCCAAAAACGTGTCATTTTGGCCCAAAATGCGTCATTTTGACACCAAAACGCGCCATTTTGACCCAAAACACGTCATTTTGACCCCAAAAACGTGTCGTTTTGACCCCAAAACGCGTCATTTTGGCCCAAAAAAGTGTCGTTTTGACCCCAAAACGCGTCATTTTGACCCAAAAAGTGTCATTTCTCCAAATTCACCCCATTTCCCCCCAAATTCATCCCATTTCCCCAAATTTCTCCCCAAATTCACCCTATTTTGCCCAATTTCCCATTTCCCCCAAATCCACCCCATTTCCCCCCAAATTCCCATTCAGCCCATTTTCCCCAAATTCACCCCATTTCCCCCAAATTCACCCTATTTCCCCAATTTATCCAAATTCACCCAAATTCCCATTTCCCCAAAAAATTTACCCCAAATTCCCCCGTTTCCCCCAAGATTTAACCAAATTCACCCCATTTCTCCAAATTCACCTTGTTTCCCCTAAAATTCACCCCATTTCCCCCAAAATTTGCCCCATTTCCCCCCAAATTGCCCCCAAATTCAGGTTATTTCCCCATTTTCCCCCAAATTCAGGTTATTTCCCCCCAATTTCGCATTTTCCCCAAATTCCCCCCATTTCCCCCAAATTCAGGTTATTTCCCCCCAATTTCCCATTTCCCCCAAATTTCCCCAAATTCCCAAATTTCCCCAAAATCCCCGATTTCCCCAAAGTTCCCCCAATTTCTCCCCAATTTCACCCAAATTTCCCCAAATTTCCCAATTCCCCCAAATTTCCCCCAAATTTCCCCAATTTTTCCAAATTTCCCCCAAATTTCCACCAATTTTCCGCAAATTTCCCAATCCCCCCCCAAAATCCCCAATTTCCCCAAATTTCCCTTAATTTCCCGCAAATTTCCGCAAATTTCCCCCAAATTTCTGCAAATTTCCCCCAAATTTCCCCCAATTTTCCCCAAATTTCCCCCAAATTTCCCCCAATCCCCCCCGTTCTCACCTGACGGACGAGGACCCCCCGCTGGGTGCCTGGGAGTAGCCGGGGTAGGCGCCCGCCTGCCCGTAGGAGCTCTGCGAGCCCTGCCCGCCGCCGCCGTAGCCGCCGGGGCCGCCGTAGGCCGGGGGCGTGGACGGGGTGCTGTAACCTGCGGGGGGGCGGTCGGCCAATCGCATCGGCCCGGTCAAGACCCATGCGGCCAATGGGATCGACTCATTCGTCCCAACGGGATCGACTCATTGAACCCAATGAGATCGACCCGTTCAATCCAATGGGATCAATCCGTTTGTCCCAATGGGATCGACCCATTCATCCAATGGGATCGACTCATTGAACCCAATGGGAGCGACCCATTCGTCCAATGGGATCGACTCATTGAACCCAATGGGATCAACCGTTCAATCCAATGGGATCGACCCGTTCGTCCCAGTGAGATCAACCCATTCGTCCAATGGGATCAGCCCGTTCAACCCAATGGGAGCGACCCATTCAATCCAATAGGATGGACCCATTTGTCCAATGGGATCGACTCATTGAACCCAATGGGAGCGACCCATTCGTCTAATGGGATCGACCCGTTCAATCCAATAGGATTGACTCATTCGTCCAATGGGATCAACTCATTGAACCCAATGGAATCGACCCGTTCAACCCAACAGGATCACCCCCTTAAACCCAACAGGATGATCCCACTCAACCCAACGGGATCACCCCCTTCAACCCCAACAGAATCACCCCATTTAACCCAACAGGATCACCCCATTCCAACCCAACGGGATCACCCCATTGAACCCAACAGGATCACCCCATTCAACCCAACGGGATCACCCCGTTCAACCCCAACGGGATCACCCCATTCAACCCAATGGGATCACCCAACGGGATCACCCCCTTCAACCCAACAGGATGACCCCATTCAACCCAACAGGATCATCCCACTCAACCCAACAGGATCACCCCATTCAACCCAATGGGATCACTCCACTCAACCCAACTGGATCACCCCATTCAACCCAACGGGATCACCCCATTCAACCCAACGGGATCACCCCCTTCAACCCAACTGGATCACCCCACTCAACCCAATGGGATCACCCAACGGGATCACCCCCTTCAACCCAACTGGACCACCCCATTGAACCCAACTGGACCACCCCATTCAACCCAACGGGATCACCCCATTGAACCCAACAGAATCACCCCATTCAACCCAACGGGATCACCCCCCTCAACCCAACTGGACCACCCCATTGAACCCAACGGGATCACCCCATTCCAACCCAATGGGATCACCCCATTCAACCCAACGGGATCACCCCATTGAACCCAACGGGATCACCCCATTCAACCCAACGGGATCACCCCATTCAACCCAACGGGATCACCCCATTCAACCCAACTGGATCACCCCCTTCAACCCAACGGGATCACCCCATTGAACCCAACGGGATCACCCCATTCAACCCAACTGGATCACCCCATTCAACCCAACGGGATCACCCCATTGAACCCAATGGGATCACCCCATTCAACCCAACGGGATCACCCCATTCAACCCAACGGGATCACCCCGTTCAACCCAATGGGATCACCCCACTCAACCCAACGGGATCACCCCATTCAACCCAACTGAATCACCCCCTTCAACCCAACTGAATCACCCCCTTCAACCCAACAGGATGACCCCATTGAACCCAACGGGATCACCCCATTGAACCCAACGGGATCACCCCCCTCAACCCAACTGGACCACCCCATTGAACCCAACGGGATCACCCCATTCCAACCCAATGGGATCACCCCATTCAACCCAACGGGATCACCCCATTGAACCCAACGGGATCACCCCATTCAACCCAACGGGATCACCCCATTCAACCCAACGGGATCACCCCATTCAACCCAACTGGATCACCCCCTTCAACCCAACGGGATCACCCCATTGAACCCAACGGGATCACCCCATTCAACCCAACGGGATCACCCCATTCAACCCAACGGGATCACCCTGTTCAACCCAATGGGATCACCCCACTCAACCCAACGGGATCACCCCATTCAACCCAACAGGATGACCCCATTGAACCCAACGGGATCACCCCATTGAACCCAACGGGATCACCCCGTTCAACCCCAACAAAATCACCCCATTCAAACCCAACTGGATAACCCCATTGAACCCAACTGGATCACCCCATTCAACCCAATGGGATCACCCAACGGGATCACCCCCTTCAACCCCAACGGGCCCGCTCCCTTCAAACCCAACGCGACGACCCCGTTCAACCCCATACACCGATCCCATCGATCCCATAGGGCAAGGCCATGGGGCGAGGACTGCTCTTACTGCTTTGGGTCTGCCCATAAGAGGGGCTGTAGCTGTTCTGCCCGTAGGCCGCCTCCGGGGCCTGGCTGTAGCCGCTGTAGCTCGGTTGCCCATAGGCCTGGCTGCCTTGTTGGGAATAACCTTGACCTGGCGGCGTGGGGTAGGCCCCATAGCTAAAGGAAAAGACCCAAAACGTCACGGATTCACCCCAAAATCGTTGGGGGGAAATGGGGAAAGGAGAGGACGTACCTTTGCGTCGCGGTCTGGCTGTAATCTATGGGGAGAAAAGGGCACGAAAAGGGGTTAACGGGCACAAATTCATCCAAGCAGGAGTGATTTTGGGGTAGAAAAGGGGGTTTTTAGGGAAAAAAAGGGGAAATAGGGTGAAAAGGGAGTGGGTTTGGGGGAAAGAGGGGGGCTTTGGGGAACAAAGGGGGGCTCGGGTAGAGGGGGATGGATTTGGGGCACAAAGAAGGGGATTTAGGGCAAAAAGGGGATGGTTTGGGGGCACAAAAGGAGTTTTAGGAACAAAGGGACTGGTTTTAGGGTAAAAAGGGGCCATTTAGGGCTAATAGGGACTGATTTTAGGGTAAAAAGTGAACATTTAGGGCAAATAGGGACTGATTTTGGGCACAAAGGGACTGATTTCAGGGTAAAAAGTGGCCATTTAGGGCAAATAGGGACTGATTTTAAACAAGAAAAGACTGATTTTAGGGTAAAAAGTGGCCATTTAAGGCAAAAAGGGGATGGTTTGGGGGCACAAAAGGAGTTTTAGGAACAAAGGGACTGGTTTTAGGGTAAAAAGGGGCCATTTAGGGCTAATAGGGACTGATTTTAGGGTAAAAAGTGAACATTTAGGGCAAATAGGGACTGATTTTGGGCACAAAGGGACTGATTTCAGGGTAAAAAGTGGCCATTTAGGGCAAATAGGGACTGATTTTAAACAAGAAAAGACTGATTTTAGGGTAAAAAGTGACCATTTAGGGCAAAAAAGGGATGGTTTGGGGGCACAAAAGGACTTTTAGGAACAAAGGGACTGGTTTTAGGGTAAAAAGGAGCCATTTAGGGCTAATAGGGACTGATTTTAGGGTAAAAAGTGAACATTTAGGGCAAAAAGGGACTGATTTTGGGCACAAAGGGACTGATTTTAGGGTAAAAAGTGGCCATTTAGGGCAAATAGGGACTGATTTTAAACAAAAAAAGACTGATTTTAGGGTAAAAAGTAACCATTCAGGGCAAAAAGGGACTAATTTTGGGCACAAAGGGACTGATTTTGGGAAAAAAGTGGCCATTTAGGGCAAAAACGGACTGATTTTAGAGTAAAAAGTGACCATTTAGGGCAAAAAGGGACTGATTTGGGGCACAAAGGGACTGATTTCAGGGTAAAAAGTGGTCATTTAGGGCAAAAAGGGACTGATTTTGGGCACAATGGGAGTGATTTTAGAGTAAAAAGTGGCCATTTAGGGCAAAAAGGGGCTGATTTGAGGCATAAAGGAACTGGTTTTAGGGTAAAAAGTGGCCATTTAGGGCAAAAAGGGACTGATTTTGGGCACAAAGGGACTGATTTTGGGAAAAGAAGTGGCCATTTAGGGCAAAAACGGACTGATTTTGGGCACAAAGGAACTGGTTTTAGGGTAAAAAGTGGCCATTTAGGGCAAAAAGGGGATGGTTTGGGGGCACAAAAGGACTTTTAGGAACAAAGGGACTGGTTTTAGGGTAAAAAGGAGCCATTTAGGGATAATAGGGACTGATTTTGGGCAGAAACGAACTGGTTTTAAGGTAAAAAGTGGCCATTTAGGGCAAATAGGGACTGATTTTGAGCACAAAGGAACCGGTTTTAGGGTAAAAAGTGGCCATTTAGGGCAAAAAGGGACTGATTTGGGGCACAAAGGGACTGATTTTGGGAAAAAAAGTGGCCATTCAGGGCAAAAACGGACTGATTTTGGGCACAAAGGGACTGATTTTAGGGTAAAAAGTGGCCATTTAGGGCAAATAGGGACTGATTTTGGGCACAAAGGGATGGATTTTAGGGTAAAAAGTGGCAATTTAGGGCAAAAAGGGACTGATTTTAGAGTAAAAAGTGGTCATTTAGGGCAAAAAGTGAGTGTTTTGGGGCACAAAGGGATGGATTTTAGGGTAAAAGGTGGCCATTTAGGGCAAAAAGGGACTGATTTTGGGCACAAAATACTGGATTTGGGGCAAAAAGTGAGTGATCTGGGCACAAAGGGACTCATTTTGAGTACAAAGGAACTGATTTTGGTCACAAAGACCTACATTTAGGGCCCAAAGTCACTGCTTCTGGGCACAAACAAGCGGATTTTGGGCAAAAAGTGAGTGTTTTGGGCACAAAGGGACTGATTTTGGGCACAAAATACTGGATTTTGGGCAAAAAGTGAGTGATCTGGGCACAAAATACTGGATTTTGGGCAAAAAGTGAGTGATTTGGGCACAAAAGGACCCATTTTGAGTACAAAGGAACTGATTTTGGTCACGAACACCTACATTTAGGGCACAAAGTGACTGATTTGGGGCAAAAAGTACTGGATTTAAGGCAAAAAGTGAGTGTTTTGGGCACAAAGTGGCCATTTTGGGCACAAAGAAGTGGATTTGGGGCAAAAAGTGAGTGATCTGGGCACAAAGGGACTCATTTCGAGTACAAAGGGACTGATTTTGGGCACAAAGTGACTGATTTTGGGCAAAAAGTGAGTGGTTTGGGCACAAAGGGACCGATTTCGGGTAGAAAGCACTGGATTTGGGGCAAAAAACAAGCGGTTTGGGCACAAAGTGGCCATTTAGGTCACAAAGAGACCGATTTTGGCCACAAAACGGGCGATTTAGGGCAAAAAGGGCCAATTTAGGGCAAAAAAAAAGCCACCAAATGGCTGTTGGGGCTTAAAATGGTGCCTTTAGGGCACAAAGCGGCCTTTGGGGGGACAAAGCACCCAATTTAAGCCACAAACCACCCCATTTTGAGGCTCAAAACACCCAATTCACCCCTTTACCCCCAAATTACCTCTTTTTAAGCCCGCCAACCCCATTCCCCCCCCACAGACACGGCCATGAGAGCGCTTTTCAAGCCCCAAACCCCGTTCTAACGCTCACGGCCTCCTCCCCCTCGTCACCTCCTCCTCGTCCGCGCGGAACAACGCCGGTTTTAACCAAAAATGGGGTTTTTAAGCCTAAAAAAATCAACGTTTAAACGGCGGCGAGGCGCCTCAAGAGACCCGGATGTGGCACTGCGGCAGCGCCACCGCGCATGCGCACAGAGCCCCCCCCCCGCCCGCCGCGCATGCGCAGAGCGCCCGCCGCGCACAAAATGGCGGCGGCGGTGGCGCAGGAGGAAAAGGCGGCACAAAATGGCGGCGGGAGGCGTGAGGTAAAACCCGTTCTAAACGCCTTAAAACACCCCAAAAAGGGATTAAAACACCCCAAAATCGCCTTAAAACCACGGGGTTCGGGGTTAGAGGCGCCTTTTGGGGGGGGGTTGAGCGGCGACGCAGAGCGGGGGGGGGAGGCTTTGTCTACTGAGCCCTTTCCCCCCCCCATTCCATCCGCTATAAAGGGGCTCAATCACGATGGAATGAATCAAACGGAGCGCGATAAACGGTGCTTAACGCCTGAACCGCCCCGTTTCGTTAACGGGGGAATGAATGGGACGGGAAACGCCCGTTTCCCGTTACAAAAGCACCGTAATGACCCCAATGAAACACACCCGGAGGCCCCAACCGCCGCTAAACGCACCCGGACCGGGGCAAAGCGCTCCGAAAACGCTAAAAAAAGAGCCCGAAACGGTAAAAAAAAGCACCCACGATGCCACAAACGGCCGCGAAACGCTAAAAAAAGGACCCCAAAAATGCTACAAACGGCCCCAAAAGGTGGAAAAAAGCCCCCCCAAACGCTAAAAACACCCCGAAACGCTAAAAGCGCCAAAAAAACCGCTAAAAACGCTTCCAAAACGCTAAAAGCCCGCCGAAAACGCTACAAACGCCCCCAAAACGCTACAAAAAGCCCCCGAAACGGTAAAAACACCCCCAAAACGCTAAGAACACCCCCAAAACCCCGCCGAAAACGCTACAAACGCCCCCAAAACTGTAAAAACACCCCAGAAACGCTACAAACGCCCCCAAAACGCTAAAAGCAGCCCCCAAACCACCACAAATGCCCCCCAAACGCTAAAAGCGCCTCCAAAACCCCCACAAACGCCCCCGAACCCCTAACAAAAAGCCCCCCGAACGGCTAAAAACGCCCCGAAAACGCTAAAAAAAAGCCGCAAAACGTTAAAAGCGCCCCCAAAACCGGCTAAAAACGCCTCAAAACACCCCAAAAAAGCTAAAAGCGCCCCGAAAAGCGCTAAAAACGCCTCAAAACGCTAAAAACACCCCCAAAACGCTAAAAACACCCCAGAAACGCTAAAAGCGCCCTCAAAACGCTACAAACGCCCCCAGAACGCTACGAACACTCCGAAAACGGTAAAAACACCCCCAAAACGCTAAAAGCACCCCGAAAAACGCTAAAACCGCCCCCAAAACGCTACACACACAAAAAACGCTAGAAACACCCTCAAAACGCTAAAAACACCCCAAAAACGCTAAAAGCGCGCCGAAAAACGCTAAAACCGCCCCCGAAATGCTACGAACACCCCAAAAACGCTTAAAACACCCCCAAAACGCTACGAACACTCCGAAAACGCTGAAAACACCCCCAAAACGCTCCTGAAACGCCCCCAAAACGCTGCAAACGGCACCGAAAACGCTGAAATGGCCCCAGAAACGCTGCAAACGGCCCGAAAACGCTGAAATGGCCCCAAAAACGCTGAAATGACCCCAAAAAACGCTGAAATGACCCCAAAAACGCTGAAATGACCCCAAAAACGCTGAAATGACCCCAAAAAACGCTGAAATGACCCCAAAAACGCCCCCCGGTACCGTTGGAGGCCATGGCGGCGGCTCCGCTCCCTCCTCCACGTGGCGCCAGCACTGAAGCCCCGAGGCCACGCCCCCTCCCCGCCTTATATAGGCTGGGCCGGAGCCGACCAATGGGGAGCGAGGAGGCGGGGCCAAGGCTGAGCCCCCTCCCATGTGGGGGGGGCTGAGGGGGGGGCCGAAGGGGAAGGGGCGGGGCTTAAGGAAGGGGCGGGGCTTGGGGGGAGCCTATTGGAGGCTATAGAACCCCATAGGCACCCCATAGCCCCCCTATAGACCCCCTATAGGCACCCCATAGACACCCCATAGACCCCCATAGACACCCCATAGACCCCCATAGATCTACATAGACACCCCATAGACACCCTATAGACCCCCATAGACACCCCATAGACACCCCATAGACATCTATAGGCACCCCATAGACACCCCATAGACACCCCATAGACCCCCATAGATCTACATAGACACCCCATAGACACCCTATAGACCCCCATAGACACCCCATAGACACCCCATAGACATCTATAGGCACCCCATAGACACCCCATAGACACCCCATAGACATCTATAGGCACCCCATAGACACCCTATAGACACTCAGACACCCACAGACACTCCACAGGCACCCTACAGACACCCATAGAACCCCATAGACACCCACAGGCACCCCATAGACACCCATAGACACATATAGACACCCCATAGACACCCTATAGACACCCATAGCCCTCTATAGACCCCCATAGCCACCCCATAGATGCCCATAGACCCCCATAGACACCTATAGGCACCCCTATAGACCCCCATAGACACCCTATAGACCCCCATAGACCTACATAGACACCCCATAGATGCTTTATAGACACCCTATAGACACCCCATAGACACCCATAGACACCCCATAGACACCTTATAGACCCCCATAGAACTACACAGACACCCCATAGGCACCCTATGGACACCCCATAGACACCCTATAGACACCCATAGGCACCCCATAGTCACCCTATAGACGCCATAGACCTACATAGACACCCCATAGACACCCTATAGACACCCACAGACACCCATAGACACCCCATAGAAACCCATAGACCCCTATAGACCCCCATACACCTACATAGACACCCCATAGACAGACTATAGACACCCCATAGACACCCTATAGACACTCACAGACCCCCATAGACACCCCATAGACACCTATAGACACCGTATAGATCCCCTATAGGACATCTATAACACCCATATGGACCCTATAGACACCCTATAGATCCCCCATAGGACATCTGTAACACCCATAGGGACCCTATAGACACCCTATAGATCCCCCATAGGACATCTATAACACCCATATGCACCCTATAGACACCCTATAGATCCCCCATAGGACATCTAGAACACCCATAGGCACCCTATAGACCCCTATAGGACGTCTACAACACCCATAGGGTCCTATAGCAGGAGCTCCGCCCCCTTAGGCCCCTCCCACCTGTGATGTCACAACCGCTGGGCCCTATAGGTGCCATTCCCTATGGGGCTGGGGCCTCACTTAAGGGGCCCTCTATAGGCCTTTCCCCCCCCCCCCCCCCATCCGCTATGGGGCTGAGTCATCCCCCATGGGGGCCCTCCCTGCTGTTCCCTATGGGGCTGAGGGGTCACTTATGGGGCTTGATATGAGACATAGTGACCCATAGAGCCCCACAGAGACCCCACAGAGACCCATAGAGACCCCATAGAGACCCCATAGAGACCCCATAGAGACCCATAGAGACCCCATAGGGACTCATAGAGACCCCATAGAGACCCATAGAGACCCCATAGAGACCCCATAGAGACCCATAGAGACCCCATAGGGACTCATAGAGACCCCATAGAGACCCATAGAGTCCCCATAGAGACCCCATAGAGCCCCACAGAGACCCCATAGAGCCCCACAGAGACCCATAGAGACCCACAGAGACCCCATAGAGACCCCATAGAGACCCCATAGAGCCCCACAGAGACCCCATAGAGACCCCATAGAGACCCACAGAGACCCCATAGAGACCTCATAGAGACCCACAGAGACCCCATAGAGACCCATAGAGACCCCATAGAGACCCCCTAGAGACCCATAGAGGCCCCATAGAGACCCCATAGCCCCCCCATTGGCCCAGAGTGGGGGCGCCCCCTGGTGGCTGGGAGGACCAGGGGCTCCTATGGGGCCAATGGGGACCCCCATGGGGCCAATGGGGAAGCCAGGAGGCCCCAATAAAGCCGCTCCTCTCACGCCATTGGCTGCAGCTTTAATGAGGGCGGGGCCCTGAGGGACCAATCAGGAAGCGGGGCGGAGGTGGGCCATGGGGTTGGTCCCCATAGGGACCAATAGGGATGCTCTTCGTGGCCATATGGACCAATAGGGATGCTCTTCATGGCCACATGGACCAATAGGGATGTTCTTCATGGCCATATGGACCAATAGGGATGCTCTTCATGGCCACATGGACCAATAGGGATGTTCTTCATGGCCATATGGACCAATAGGGATGCTCTTCATGGCCATAGGGACCAATAGGGATGCTCTTCATGGCCATGTGGACCAATAGGGATGCTCTTCATGGCCATATGGACCAATGGGGATGCTCTTCATGGCCACATGGACCAATAGGGATGCTCTTCATGGCCATAGGGACCAATGGGGATGCTCTTCATGGCCATAGGGACCAATAAGGATGCTCTTCATGGCCATATGGACCAATGGGGATGCTCTTCATGGCCATAGGGACCAATAGCGATGCTCTTCATGGCCACACGGACCAATAGGGACCAATGCACCCCATAGGGACCAATCCCACCCCATAGGGACCAATCCCACCCCATAGGGACCAATGACCCCCATAGGCCCCAATACCCCCACCCCATAGGAACCAATCCCACCCAATAGACCAATCCCCCCCATAGAGACCAATGACCCCCATAGGGCCCAATCCCACCCCATAGAGACCAATGACCCCCATAGGGCCCAATCCCACCCCATAGAGACCAATGACCCCCATAGGGCCTAATCCCACCCCATAGAGAACAATGACCCCCATAGGGCCCAATCCCACCCCATAGAGACCAATGACCCCCATAGGGCCCAATCCCACCCCATAGAGACCAATGACCCCCATAGGGCCCAATCCCACCCCATAGAGACCAATGACCCCCATAGGGCCCAATCCCACCCCATAGAGACCAATGACCCCCATAGGGACCAATCCCACCCCATAGACCAATCCCCCCCAAAGGGACCAATCCCACCCCATAGAGAACAATGACCCCCATAGGGCCTAATCCCACCCCATAGAGACCAATGACCCCCATAGGGCCCAATCCCACCCCATAGAGACCAATGATCCCCATAGGAACCAATCCCACCCCATAGAGACCAATGACCCCCATAGGAACCAATCCCACCCCATAGAGACCAATGAACCCCATAGGGACCAATCCCACCCCATAGAGACCAATGACCCCCATAGGGCCCAATCCCACCCCATAGAGACCAATGACCCCCATAGGGCCCAATCCCACCCCATAGAGACCAATGACCCCCATAGGGCCTAATCCCACCCCATAGAGACCAATGACCCCCATAGGGCCCAATCCCACCCCATAGAGACCAATGACCCCCATAGGGCCCAATCCCACCCCATAGAGACCAATGACCCCCATAGGGCCCAATCCCACCCCATAGAGACCAATGACCCCCATAGGGCCCAATCCCACCCCATAGAGACCAATGAGCCCCATAGGAACCACTCCGCCCCCCATAGGGCTGCTCCCCCCATCCATATTGACCCTAGGAACCAATTCCCCCCCCCCATAAGCACCAACACCGCCCCCAGCCCCATAGAGGGGGGGCAGCCCCATTGCTCCTCCCGGCCGCCGTGGGGCGCCCTCAGATGCGGAAGCTCTCGGCCTTGCCGTCGATGTGGCGCAGGCGCAGGAAGACGTCGGTGCCCACCCCCTGCAGCGACTGCAGCGCCAGCGACCCCCCCAGGTACTCGGCGTAGGCGCGGGACGTGGGGAGCCCGAAGCCGAACCTGTGGGGAGCAGTTGGGGGCAATGGGGGGGCGATGGGGGTCAATGGAAGTCAATGGAAGTCAATGAATTCAATGGGAGTCAATGGGAGTCAATGGGGGTCATTGGGGTCAATGGGCATCAATGAGGTCAATGGGAGTCAATGGGGGTCAATGGGGGACAATGGGAGTCAATGGGGGTCAATGGAAGTCAATGAACTCAATGGGAGTCAATGGGAGTCAATGGGAGTCAATGGGGGTCAATGGGGGGCAATGGGAGTCAATGGGGGTCAATGAAAGTCAATGAATTCAATGGGAGTCAATGGGGGTCATTGGGGTCAATGGGCATCAATGAGGTCAATGGGAGTCAATGGGGGTCAATGGGGGGCAATGGGAGTCAATGGGGGTCAATGAACTCAATGAGAGTCAATGAGGGTCAATGGCATCATTGGGGTCAATGGGCATCAATGAGGTCAATGGGAGTCAATGGGGGTCAATGGGGGTCAATGGGAGTCAATGGGGGTCAATGGGAGTCAATGGGGGTCAATGAAAGTCAATGAGAGTCAATGGGGGTCAATGGGGTCAATGGGAGTCAGTGGGGGTCAATGGGGTCAATGGGAGGCAATGGGGGTTAATGGAAGTCAATGAACTCAATTGGAGTCAATGGGGGGCAATGGGAGTCAATGAGAGTTAATGAGGGTCAATGGCATCAATGGGAGTCAATGGGGGTCAATGGGGGACAATGGGGGACAATGGGGGACAATGGGGGTCAATGGGGGTCAATGGAGTCAATGGGGGTCAATGGGAGTCAATGGGAGTCAATGGGGGTCAATGGGGGACAATGGGAGTCAATGGGGGTCAATGGAGTCAATGGGGGTCAATGAGGGTCAATGGGAGTCAATGGGGGCCAATGGGAGTCAATGGCATCAATGGGGGTCAATGGGGGTCAATGGGGGTCAATGGAGTCAATGGGGGTCAATGGGGGTCAATGGGAGTCAATGGGAGTCAATGGGGGTCAATGGGGGTCAATGGGGGTCAATGGAGTCAATGGGGGTCAATGGGGGTCAATGGAGTCAATGCGGGTCAATAGGAGTCAATGGAGTCAATGGGGGTCAATAGGAGTCAATGAGGGTCAATGGGGGTCAATGGGAGTCAATGGGAGTCAATGGGAGTCAATGGGAGTCAATGGGGGTCAATGGGGGTCAATGAGGGTCAATGGGAGTCAATGGGGGTCAATGGGGGTCAATGGGAGTCAATGGAGTCAATGGGAGTCAATAGAGTCAATGGGGTACAAGGGGGTACAAGGGGGTGCAAGGGGGTAAATGGGGGTCAATGGGGGTCAATGGGTTCAATGGGGATCAATAGGTGTCAGTGGGGATCAATGGGGTCAATAGGAGTCAATGGGTGTCAATGGGGTCAATGGGTGTCAATGGGGGTCAATAGGGGTCAATGGGGGTCAATGGGAGTCAATGGGGGTCAATGGGGGTCAATGGGAGTCAATGGGGGTCAATGGGAGTCAATGGGGGTCAATGGGGGTCAATGGGGGTCAATGGGAGTCAATGGGGTCAATGGGGGTCAATGGGAGTCAATGGGGGTCAATGGGGGTCAATGAGAGTCAATGGGGGTCAATGGGAGTCAATGGGAGTCAATAGAGTCAATGGGGGTCAATGGGAGTCAATGGGAGTCAATGGGGGTCAATGGGGGTCAATGGGAGTCAATGGGGGTCAATGGGAGTCAATAGGGGTCAATAGGAGTCAATGGGGGTCAATGGGAGTCAATGGGAGTCAATGGGAGTCAATGGGGGTCAATGGGGGTCAATTGGAGTCAATGGGGGTCAATGGGAGTCAATGGGGGTCAATGGGAGTCAATGAGGGTCAATGGGAGTCAATGGGGGTCAATGGGAGTCAATGGAGTCAATGGGAGTCAATAGAGTCAATGGGGGTCAATGGGAGTCAATGGGAGTCAATGGGGGTCAATGGGGGTCAATGAGGGTCAATGGGAGTCAATGGGAGTCAATGGGAGTCAATGGGGGTCAATGGGGGTCAATGGGAGTCAATGGGGGTCAATGGGAGTCAATGAGGGGCAATGGGGTTCAATGGGAGACAATGGGAGTCAATGGGAGACAATGGGGGTCAATGGGAGTCAATGGGGGTCAATGGGGGTCAATGGGGGTCAATGGGAGTCAATGGGAGTCAATGGGAGTCAATGGGGGTCAATGGGAGTCAATGGGAGTCAATAGGGGTCAATAGGAGTCAATGGGGGTCAATGGGAGTCAATGGGGGTCAATGGAGTCAATGGGGGTCAATAGGGGTCAATAGGAGTCAATGGGGGTCAATGGGAGTCAATGGGGGTCAATGGGGGTCAATGGGAGTCAATGGGGGTCAATGGGAGTCAATGGGGGTCAATGGGGGTCAATGGGGGTCAATGAGAGTCAATGGGGTCAATGGGGGTCAATGGGAGTCAATGGGGGTCAATGGGGGTCAATGAGAGTCAATGGGGGTCAATGGGAGTCAATGGAGTCAATGGGGGTCAATGGGGGTCAATGAGGGTCAATGGGGGTCAATGGGGGTCAATGGGGGTCAATGGGAGTCAATGGAGTCAATGGGGGTCAATGGGGGTCAATAGGGGTCCATGAGGGTTAATGGGAGTCAATGGGGTCAATGGGGGTCAATGGGAGTCAATGGAGTCAATGGGGGTCAATGGGGGTCAATAGGGGTCAATGAGGGTCAATGGGAGTCAATGCCGGTCAATGGGAGTCAATGGGGGTCAATGGCGGTCAATGGGGGTCAATGGGAGTCAATGGGAGTCAATGGGGGTCAATGGGGGTCAATGGGAGTCAATGGGGGTCAATGGGAGTCAATGGGAGTCAATGGGGGTCAATGGGAGTCAATGGGAGTCAATGGGGGTCAATGGGAGTCAATGGGGGTCAATGGGAGTCAATGGGGGTCAATGGGAGTCAATGGGGTCAATGGGAGTCAATGGGGGTCAATGGGAGTCAATGGGAGTCAATGGAGTCAATGGGTGTCAATGGGAGTCAATGGGGTCAATGGGAGTCAATGGGGGTCAATGGGAGTCAATGGGGGTCAATGGGAATCAATGGGGGTCAATGGGGGTCAATGGGAGTCAATGGGGGTCAATGGGGGTCAATGGGAGTCAATGGAGTCAATGGGGGTCAATGGGGGTCAATAGGGGTCAATGGGGGTCAATGGGAGTCAATGGGGGTCAATGGGAGTCAATGGGGGTCAATGGGGGTCAATGAGGGTCAATGGGAGTCAATGGGGGTCAATAGGAGTCAATGGGGGTCAATGGCGGTCAATGGGGGTCAATGGGAGTCAATGGGAGTCAATGGGGGTCAATGGGGGTCAATGGGAGTCAATGGGGGTCAATGGGGGTCAATGGGAGTCAATGGAGTCAATGGGGGTCAATGGGGGTCAATGGGAGTCAATGGGGGTCAATGGGGGTCAATGGGAGTCAATGGGAGTCAATGGGAGTCAATGGGGGTCAATGGGGGTCAATAGGGGTCAATGAGGGTCAGTGGGAGTCAATGGGGGTCAATGGGGGTCAATAGGGGTCAATGAGGGTCAATGGGAGTCAATGGGGGTCAATAGGAGTCAATGGGGGTCAATAGCATCAATGGGGGTCAATGGGGGCAATGGGAGTCAATGGGGGTCAATGGGGGTCAATGGGAGTCAATGAGGGTCAATGGGGGTCAATGAGGGTCAATGGGAGTCAATGGGGGTCAATGGGGGTCAATAGGAGTCAATGGGGGTCAATGGGAGTCAATGGGGGTCAATGGGTCAATGGGAGTCAATGGGAGTCAATGAGGGTCAATAGGAGTCAATGGGGGTCAATGGGAGTCAATGGGGGTCAATGGGGGTCAATAGGGGTCAATGGGGGTCAATGGGAGTCAATGGGGGTCAATGGGGGTCAATGGGAGTCAATGGGGCTCAATGGAAGTCAATGGAAGTCAATGGGTCCTCAATGGGTCTCAATGGGTCTCAGTGGGTCCCGGTGGGGCGCGTACCCGTGCATGGGCCCGGCGGGGGGCTCCATGAGGCCGCGGAAGGGGCCGCCCCCCAAGCGTGGGTCCTGGGCGCTGGCCTCGGCCGTGCTGAAGTGGTATTGGGTGACCTTGTCGAGGAGCTCGTGGGGGATGCCCCCGCCGCGGTCCGACACCCTGCAACGGCGCCCCACGTCCAGGACCCATAGCGGGACCCACGGCGGGACCCATAGCGGGACCCATAGCAGGACCCATAGCGGGGACCCACATACAGGACCCATAGCGGGACCCATAGCGGGACCCATAGCGGGACCCATAGCGGGACCCATAGCGGGACCCTGCAACGGCGCCCCACGTCCAGGACCCACAGCGGGACCCACAGCGGGACCCACAGCGGGACCCATAGCGGGACCCATAGCGGGACCCATGGCGGGACCCACGGCGGGACCCATAGCGGGGACCCACATCCAGGACCCATAGCGGGACCCATAGCGGGGACCCACATCCAGGACCCATAGCGGGACCTATGGTGGGACCCATAGCGGGACCCATAGCAGGACCCATAGTGGGACCCATAGCAGGACCCATAGCGGGGACCCACGGCGGGACCCATAGCGGGACCCATAGCGGGACCCACGGCGGGACCCATAGCGGGGGTCCATCGGGGGATCCACATCCAGGACCCACAGTGGGACCCATAGCGGGACCCATGGTGGGACCCATAGCGGGGACCCACAGCGGGACCCATAGCGGGGACCCATGGGAGGGACCCCATAGGGGGAATCCATGATGGGACCCATGGCAGGACCCATATCCAGGACCCACAGCGGGACCCATAGCGGGGACCCATAGCGGGGACCCGTATCCAGGACCCACAGCGGGACCCATAGCGGGGACCCATAGCGGGACCCGTATCCAGGACCCACAGCGGGACCCATAGCGGGACCCATAGCAGAACCCATAGGTGGAATCCATGGGGGGACCCATAGCGGGACCCACGGCTGGACCCATAGCGGGACCCATGGGGGGACCCACAGCGGGACCCATGGCGGGGACCCACATCCAGGACCCACAGCGGGACCCATAGCGGGGACCCATGGGGGGACCAATGGCGGGGACCCATAGGGAGAACCCATAGGGAGAACCATAGGAAGAACCCATAGGGGTGACCCATAGGCATGACCCATAGGGATGATGTGGGGCACACCCCCCCCACCCCATAGCCCTATAGGGCGCCCCCCCCTGCCCCATAGGGTGCCCCCCCTGCCCCATAGATACCGGATGACGACGTCGATGTCGTTGTTGGCGATGGTGACCACGATGTCGGGCACGTTGTAGGGGGTGTCCAGGTGGAACTCCATTGTCGCCCTGCGCCCCATAGAGACCCATAGAGACCCATAGGGACACATAGAGACCCC